GGCAAAAATGATGAGAGCTGCAGAGATAGATCGAGCAGAACAGCCACACATGAAAAAAAAAAAAAAAAATCAAACAAAATTTCAAAACAAACACCATGGTTTGCACTTCGTATGTATGTCGTTATCCTTGGTGAGACTAGACTATTTTGAGGCCGCTCTGTTAAGTCTTTCCTTGCGTTATAGCAACTCACTTACACGACCTCGGAGATCGCATCATGGAAGAGGTTTTCTACTCTCGCCATGTACCAAGGTATCTATACCTCGGGCAAGCTTCGACTCTTCATCTCGCTCATCCCAGAAAAGCGTATGTGCTCCAACGCCAACCTTCTCGTTCGCTGATTAAATTTTTTTCTCTACCGGCTCTCGGATCATTGTTGGCCACATCTCAGAGTCACCAACTTCCTCACTCTTATAGTAAGTTGTCATCAAGAAAAATAAGAAAAGCCTTGCTCCTCATCTTTGCCCAATACAAGTCCTAGCCTAGAGAGTAACGCTTGTAGACGTCGCCTCCAGTGCTTCCTTGGTACGCTCTATTTCTTTCTGTTTTGCGTATATTGGTATGTGAAAAGGAAATACAACGTCCTTTGTCTACTTTTTTTTGGGGGGGGGGGGGGGCGCGTATCAACAAAGTGAGCACCCACGATGTTGCGTTATCAGAACCAAGGTCAGGGACTTCTATTGGAAGTGTCATAATATGGGGTAGATCAAGTACATAGAGATTAGGACTGCTTTCCAGGGCGCAGTAGGTAACAAAGTAGGATGCACTTGACCAGAGAAAGAAATTTCGAGAAACTTAACTTTTCCTCGCCTTTTCCCCTTTTCTCAAATACTCCATTTCCATTGAACCAGTCCACATCTGTGGTTTAGGGAATAACCTTGAGGTAGTAAAAAGAAACATGGACCACGCGGATGTTATAGTTATAGACGGGGGAAACGGAGTAAAAACATACCTCTTTACTTACTCGTATCTTCTATTTGGAGCTGGCTTCAATTACACCAGTGAAGCAAGCAAGACGTGAGTTCAAAATTTCTGCTACGAGTGAGTGGCTTTTTCTTCGTCTTTGGCTATAACTTAGTTGTACTCTATAAGCTCTCTGCAGAGAGACACTATAGCTCAGCTCAACGATCTGACATCGCAAAAAGAGTTTCAGATCGTCGCCTTACCTACCTACGCCTTCCGGGACCTGATGCTTCTATCTACAGCTCCGTCGATACCAAGATAATTCAACAAGGCTGGCTAGTTGGCTTCTAGTACATCACAAAGGACACATTTCACAAGCGAGCATAATCATAAGACAAGGAGAAAAATTTCATTTTCATAACCGAGATCCCGAAGCTTCGCGCACAAAAGCGGCCTTGCTCCAATACAGGTTCTCCCTGTTTTTCATTTTGCAACTCAAATAGCTATAACAAAAGTAAACTTAGGTATCATGGTAGTCCCTCCCAGTAGCAAGTAGTATATAGAAAAAATTCAGCAAAGGAGTGTCTTTTCGTTTCGTTCCATTTCGTTTCCGTTCCGTACGTGTTGGTTTTCTTTTTTTGGTATTTTGTTTTTTCTTTTCGGTTTTCATCAGAGAAATAAGAGACACTGAGAGAGAAATAATTATTTTCAGTAAAGAACCTTAAAAGACTCGTCCAAATCAAAATCCCCGGGTTTCCTATCCTTTCCCTCCCCCCCTGTTGTAATAAATAGAGAGAAAAAAAGGAGGTCATATACCCGGCGTCAGGTAGAGGGGGGAGGGAGAATCTGATTTCAAGGATGTAACAAATGCCGCTATCCAGATGACTTATGCAAGAGAGGAGATGAAAAAGAAAAGAAGGAAAAGGACGAGAGAGATGGTTCAAGTTTCTCAGAGTACCCGAGAAGCTCGACCTCTCAAAGGCAAAACCAGAATATGGAAAAAGAGTGTACCAAAGACGACCTTTCATAAGAGAAATAGAGTCCCCGAGGCAGATGTTGCTCGCTTGCTGGCTTGCTTTGCTTGAAGAGAAGATGAAGGACAGAGGAAAACAGACAACGTTCAAACGATACGCAAGTCATTATCGAATATTCGGTGCTTTTCTTGGCTTTGGAGAGAGAGTCGAGAGAGAGGATCGTCTCGACGGGGAGGTCTAGATCATGTTGCCGTTAACACTGACCTCGAATCCATCGCCCTTCTGCTTCAGCGCCTTAGCAAGCATCAACTCCCGCATCCAATCGATCCGGTCATCGCGGCTCTTGACGGCAAAGTGATGTGTCTTTCCCGTGCCGTTGGCGCCCTCGGCGGGGATCGACCCGGAGCTCGAAGAGTGCCCATGCCCAAAGCCGTGCAGCGCGCTCCCGCGCTTCCTCAGCTTCGCGCCAGCAGACTCCTTATCCTTGTCCTGCGGGATGAGCTGGAAGCTGAACGCCGCAACGGGATCGCTCTTCTCACGGCTGTGTGACGACGAGGAGCTGAAGTGGACGGCCTTGAAGGCGGCGGAGAGCTTGCTCTGCGACGCGAGGCTGGAGCACGCGATGGCGTAGTCGTCGACATCGACGTACTCGAGCGTGCGGTCGACCGTCTTTGCGTCCTTGTGGACGGCGAGGCGGGTGCCCTTGAGGGTGCAGAAGGTGTCGTTCCACTCGTGGCGGAGCATCTTTGTCTTGCGCTTCTTCATGGGGCCCTGGAAGGTCACGCCGTCTTGCTGGGCGGCGGAGGCGGCTTGCTTCACGGGGAGGGAGGGCGCGAGGTGGGTGATGGGCGGGATGGCTTGCTCAAAGGGAGTCGTGCGCTCGATGGGGGACCAGGGGTAGTTGACACGGGGAGGGGCTTGGAGAGGTTGCTGTTGCTGGAGGGGTTGAGGGCGGACGGAAGTGCGTGGGGAGGTGTGTCTGGGAGATGTACGGGCGATGGGGGTCGCCGTGTTCTCGTTCAGGGCGGGGAGGACGGGGAACGAGGGGCGGCGAGCAGAGGAGCGGGATTGGGTGCGGGAAAGGGGCGGCTGCTGCTGCTTGGAGACGCCGGGACGGTAGTTCATCTCAGGGGGAACGGACTGGGAAACGTCGCGGGCGATGCGGTCCATCGGCACGGCGGTGACGGGGACGTCCATCTCGGAGAAGGGAGTACCGAAGCGGTAGGGGTTGTTGATGGGGCTTTGCAGGTCCGGCGACATGGCCTCGGCCCGGTCCATGTGGTAGGGGACGAAGCCTTGCGGCTGTTGCTGCTGGTACGGGGGTGTCGGGAGCGGCTCCGGGTGAGCTGAGGGAGGAGGAACCGTCGAGGCGCGTAGAGGGCTCGCGCGAGGAGCCTGCTTGCCCGGGATGGAGAGCTTTGGGAGGTGACGGAGGCGTTCGGGCTGGGCCTTCATGGCAGGGAAGCCCATCTCGAAGGGGGGTGTCGGGGGTACTGTGGTATCCTCGTGCTTCTGGAAGTCGAGGAACTGGCGCACATTATCCTGGGGGTCTCTCGCGACGACGTTGCGGAGGGCAGCCTCTTGCAGATACTGTAGCGGCGTGGCGTTACCGGGACCCAGCACGTCGGAGGAAGCCACCACGGACGGGACGGCGTCGGAGATGGGCCTGAGGATCTGCGTAGGGTCGAGGGCTCTCGCCGTTTGCGGGTTGCCCGGGTTCCCGGTGATGACAACCTGTTCCGTGTCGAGGTCGACAAAGGGGTGCTCCTTCTTGAAGGCCTCGATGAGGCGCTGTTGCTTCCTCCACTTGGAGCAGTTCTCGCCCTTGGGGCACTGATGCGGCTTGGGGACGACCTGCTCGATGCCAACAATAGACACGGACTCCATGGGCGTGATGATGTCGTCGTGCGAAGGCTTCTTGGGCCGCCTTCTGCTGCTCTTGCTCCTCTTCATCCCGCAGTCGTCTGTCTGTTGCCTTTCCGCCGCCCGGACCTCGCGGGTCTCCTTCTTGACTTCGCGGCTCGGCTCGTCCTGGATCGGCGTCGGGGCGCGTGGCGAGCTGGGTCTGCTGTCGCGCAAGACCTGAATCTGGTTCCAAACGCGCGTCCTCATGCCGAATGAGGGAATGTCCAACTCCTTCAGATCCTCAAACTTCAACGTAATTAGGATGGGTCCGTTGATATCGTTCTCCACGAAGCGGCCTGCGACCGAGAGCTCAATGCCAGCATTGAGCATCGACTGCGCAACCATCTCTGGCGTCCATGAGACGAGCTCCCTCGACTCAAACTCTTCGTACGTGAATTGGAAGGGACCGCTCTGGAGTCTGGATGGGGGCATCGGCGGCTGCTGCGGTCTGATGTGTCGGAATGGCTCATCGAAAGGTCGAGCCGTCTTGGGTGTCACCGGAGACAGCGTCAGGATGGCCTCGTCAAAGTAGCTGGCGGTTGAAGCACGGAAAAGGTGCGGGCCGGAAGGACCCTCAATGTTCTTGTTTGGTGACTCCATCATCTCCGTCGCGTACATCATCCGCCCTTGACTTGACCTTGGCGTCTGCACCTCATCGTAGGATGAGAGTGTTGTGATACTTGGCTGGCCGCCAGACTTTTTTGCGCCCACACATGTTAGCTATAGCCGTTTTGGAGACCAGGCCACTGCCTTTTCGAACAAAATCACTTACAGAGTTGACACTGATCCGAGGAGAGTTGTCTTCAAACTCGCTGAGCACGTCGTCGTCCCATTCCATGTCCATGAACTCGGTCGCCACTGACGTTGGCCTTTGCGGCTCGGCCTTGATGCCAAAGAATGTGTCGCGCATAGGCGCCTTTTCGCGCATTTCATGGCGCAGGCGACGCTCGCCTCTTTCATATTCTTGTGTGTAGTTCTAGTGGCGCAAAGTCAGCCTCAAAGCCACACACAGCGTCGCAAGATCCCCATTTTGACTGTCATTCCTCAACTCACCATTGTGTGTGTATGTGTGTAAGTGGTCATTCCCAGATACGGAAAGTGGGGATGGAGGAATGTTCAAGAGGGCGTGGACTGGCTATATCTGACTTGCAGTCTACAGCGCAGGACAGCCTCCTCCGTGGCAGTCTTGGTACCCTTTTGCTCTTTGCTTTTTCCCGTAAAGCTGGGAATCGAGGGGGGAAGCCGTTGCCGGCAGCACTCTGTTCTATGAAGCCTGTAGATACTTGGGGGATAGCGGCACGCAGTGCAAGCTATGAGGGGATTGAACACGCCTCGGGGCTAGGAAACAAGACCAGCGAAAGGAGATGCCTAAAGGAAAAAGAGATATGAGGTCCAGCAGAGCCGAATATGCTCATTTGGTATGTAACGGGTCGCAAAAAAGAAGAAGGATGGGATCCGGTACAAGGCGGGCGCCTACCGCGAGTTATGTATGTCTAGTGTGTCCATGCACGGCGGAGCAGTGTAGGGATGCGAGACTAGGGGGGTGGTTGACCGTTGAGGAGGCAGAAGCATGGTGGTTGAGAGAGAGGGAGAGAGAGAGAGAGAGAGAGTCGGATCACAGCACATACGCAGAAGCAGAAGCAGCAGCAGCAGAAGCAGCAGCAGCAGAAGCACGCACAGGTATCCCATCACCCACCCATGGCATATCCTCGTTCCCCAATATGCATGCTGGCTCTGGTGTGATTCGACTCGTGGCACTTGCACACGGCGCCGATGGTGGCACTCTGAACAGACCAGTCGAGTGTATAATAATAGCCCGGGTGGTGTGTGGGCAGGTCAGGTATCTAGGTTCTGGGTGCTGGGTTCTGGGTTGGAGAGACGACAAAAGGGTAGAAGAGTGCGCTTGCGTGTGCCTACGTGTGTGTGTGTGTGGCCGAGCGGGCAAAGGCCCAGCCCATGGACCGACCATTCATTGAACCCTGAATAACGGCGGTGGTCCTAGGCGACGATACCGGCGTCGATAGTTGTTGGGTGAAGATGTGAGAGGAGACAAAAAGTGTGAGTGAGTAACAGAGAGGGAACGCTTCGAAGGCTGGTGGTTCCCCGGCCAAAGGGGGTGTGTAGCCGGACAGCCATCCATGTGGATAGCGGTGCACAACCGGCAGCAAGCACTTTGCACTTGCAGCGAAGCACCACGCAGGACGCGGCATGTAGGTACTCCGTTCGTCCCCCCCCCCCCCATCCCCCAATCCCAGCACAAGCAACTGGTCAGGCACAGGGCAGCACAGCAGCAGCAGTGGGCTAAAGCTGTGTTCGTATAGGTGGATAGGTACTCCGTAGTCATCGTCGAACGGGCGTGGGGAAGCGTAGTAGTCAGTACTCAGCAACGGACCTGTCTCTGCTCTGTGAGCATGTGTGAATGGAAGGGGGGTGGTTCGAACTTGGAAGAGAGAGAGAGAGGTTGAAGCGAGGAACGGGAAAGAGGGTCTAGGACGGCGCAAAGGTCGGGAAAAGTGTAAACCTGATTGGCCGGGACGGGAAAAGAAGCTCGTGCATAGCGCCCAGCCGACGGACCTGGACTTTGGGCAAGAGCAAGAAGGCGGCGCTGGAGCTTCCCATTGGCCATAAATGCAAAGAAACAAAATGTCGTGGGACGTTATTTTAGGGAACGCTAATACGCCATTGGCTGGAAAATCGGCATACATAAGATATCTACGGAAATACATGCATAGATCCTTACCCCGGCTTGCCGCTACGGCGGCGTTTAAGCGCCCGTCTTTCTCAATCTGGCGGCCACTCGCTGTTCGCTTGTCGTCTGAATAAGTGGGGCATGTCGACAACCACCCCCCGGTCGCCGGCCGTCAACGGCGTGAAGCACGAAAAAAAGGGAAAGGCAGGAGACAGAACGGAAAGAGGGGAATGAGTTCCCATGCCTGCTTTGCACCCTCTTTTCGCCTTTGGCGGCCTTCGCAGAGAACCCGCCGCCCACCGCCTGCTGTTCGCAGACTTGTGTCACTATCACTGCCCACGGCCCACCACCCATCACTTATCGCACCTTAGCTGTCATCACATTCCAATCTTATCAAGTCTCTTTTTTCCCCAGAATCATCGCCAGCACCATACAGGTGTAGTCTAAGCTATGTCTTTGATACCTCGCACCTTTAGTCTGGCCAAGGCATGTGGATCAAGACAAGACGAGACGAGCCATGTGAGCGCCCTGCCCAATCCCGCAGTGGCCGTCCTCTCAACGGCCATCCGAATCCTTCTGGTTGGGAAACTTTCCCAAGGAATGCAATGGCCCGTATAATTCCTGCATCGTGCGGCTTTTCTTGCCCAGCTGTTTGTTTTCCGCTATGGCAGGGACGAGCAAATCAGGGCTACACCGTGACCGGCCACCTTACTTGACTGTCCGTCAACCCATTGGTAGAGAGATGCCCAAAAAGAAAAGAAGGGGGAGAATACAGCCACATCTACACCCCCTCTCCCCATTTCTGCCTCTTCAACGTTGCACCCTCGGCTACCTACAGCCCACCGCACACCTCCGATCTCGACGAGTCTCGACTCCCGAATGTCCACGGTCAACGGCCAGGACCCCACCCTCACGATCAACTGACTTCCCCTCACTGGGTTTCTCAGCCACTCAGTATGCCCGTCGGGCCTCCATCGGAGAAATCCCCATCAAATCGAGACTACCGTTCCGTCCGGGGGGGGGGGGTTCGACGAGGCCAATGGCCTTGCGAGAAGCCTCTTTTACGAAAAGGTCCCAATATGAGGCGAGATTTCATCTTCCTCTTGAAAAATGGACCTCTTTGGTGACTGAACTGACATGGGACGGTTCGGATCTCAATGGGTCCTGCCACGCCAAAAGATGAGCTTTCTTCGCCCAGTTGGCCCATTGGCACTCCTCATCCCCCACCTTGCGTGTCACTGTCGGCGCAGTCCGTGGATCGCTTATCATTAGTCTCGCCTTGCTCTCAGCTCGCAAATCAAACGCACCTCTGGATACCTCCTTCCTTACCGCCCAATCGCTCCTTGTCGATAGCGAACAACGGGACCAGGCAAAAGCTGGAGCTGTGGCACATCACCTGCGCAACTGGCTCACCGTTGCTGCCAGGCAAATTTGATAGAGGCAAAGAAATCCATCAACAGTCAATAAATCCCCAGTCACTTATCCACGTATGACTTCATACTCACAAGCCCTGCAGATGGCGGTCAAAAGTGTGACGAGAGGACATGGTTGATGCAGCAGCAGCTGGTCTCTTGGGCTTTTGCATTCGTATGTATGCACCCGTCGCTAGCCTCCATAGCTCGATGCCGTGGAATGAGAATTCTTGGCCTTGTTTGCTGGATTAGAGTCTCCATCCAGTGAGCCATACCTATCCCAAGAGGGACAAAGGGGGCTGGCCGAATGTGCTCGTGATAGGTAGACGACGATGGACGGTCTGGAGATGGTGGTACGACAAGACCTTGGTGGCCAGCTTTCTACCCCGCAGAGCCGTTGAGACAGATATGCGATATATGCCATGTCCAAAATATGGGTGCTGCCACACTCTTGCAGGTTGACGGGTTGGGATGCGGTGATATCTGATAGAGCTGCAGTATCGGACCTTGCAGGATTTGGGAAGCTGACACCATCACTCTGGTCTCTTTCTCCGGATACAAGATCTGGATTTGCGAATCGGAGTGTCCCAAAAGCACATCTGATTGGGGCGCAGGTGTTGACATTGGAACAGTGAAAGCATTGGTAAGTTGCCATTGCCATCATGGTCGCAGCCGATTCCAGTCCCAGAAATGCCAGCCCCCGTCCCGGCCGGCAATGGACCAGTTGCGCAACATCAACCTCTGTGTGTCAGTGTCGGTGAAGCACCGCACATCTCCACATGTAAGGGAGCAAGAATGCGCTTCGAAGAACAGCAAAAGGCCAGCGCAGAGAATTCCCGCTGACTCATAAGACAGCCTAAAGGTGCTGTGAAGGTCGACCCCGTCCTTGCGTTAGCAGTGTGACGCTCCGCAGGGAAGCATAAAGCACGCTCCCGCTACTGCATCCCCATCTTCCATGTTCATTCCAGGTGGTGTTCGATGCGTCTCCGAGACATAAAAAAGCCGTGGCGGTATCCGACGGGACAAGAGTTTGTGAATCATATGCAGTCTTGCCTTCTTCACCGACTCTTCACGTCGTCTGGCGTGCCCTTGGATGACCTCATCCGATCATTTCCGCGAGACAGGGAGAACATGTGTTCAACAATGCCACAGTGTCTCGGTCAGATCAAGAATCTTTCCTTGCGCTGCTGTCTCAGTCCCTTCAACGGCAATCCATAGAAAAGCTTGTCCGACCGGAGCCGGGTCGCACAGAGAAACACCTGGCGGTGATTGAGGTTAAACAGCGACCAGTAAGAGGCCAAAGTGCGAATGGTGGAAGGCAATCCCGGCAATGGAGAATTGACTGTCGATAATTATGCTCCGCGGCCGACTCTACCCGATGGCCATTCGAGATTCAGTGTAAGACCAGGCCATGTTCCAAGGCAATTGGGCAGGGCGTCCACATTCAATTTCTGATCCTGGAGGAGGATCATCGAATATGGCTAACCCTAACGTGGGCTGCGAGCACAGTGCACCTTGTACACACCCCTCAGCCCGCAATTGAGCCCGGCAGGGGTTGGTGGCTGTAGTATAGTGTGGACGATGGTGTGGTTTGGGAGAGGCCATCCTCGAATGAATTGGCGTATTCTCGCGGGTGTTTTCACCTCGTGTGTGTTCGTGAGAAACGACGTTCTCCAGACATGGCCCCAGTGCGCAACTTCTGCCCTCCAATGAGTTGGCCAGAACACGTTTTCACACGCTCTCACATGATGGCGAACTAATGCGAGCCTCGCACTACTGTTGTGGATGGATGACTCTCCCGCTCATGTCAACCAGTGGATTTCGATGCTGGAAAGGGGATTGTGATGGTGTTGATGAGTCTCAGAATCAGAACTCGTTGCATTGTGACCGTTTGCAAGACCCTAGAAATCTCTGTCAGATCGCATGGCGATGCGGCGCGGATGGCCTGAGCGAGACGGATGCAGGTCATCGTGATTTCGGTCCGTCAATTGGCGCTCCACTAGTGGCAATCGAAAAATGGCTGCCACTTCGTGAGGCAGTTGACAGGGCGAGGCGAGCCGATATAGAAGGCTAGCTTATCATCTGCAATGTGCTTGGCATCCATCTGCCACGAGTCGTATCGCAAGCAGTCAATTTATCCGTACAATGGGAAGCATTGTCCACAAGATGGCTTTTCAAGGTTCCCTTTGTCATTCGTATTCTAAATGCAACCTCGAATTCGTAATTCATTGTTGGTTGAAATGCATCCGATGTTGGGACCTAGTATGCTAAGTCTTCAATGTTATTTGAGTTGTCGATTGTTGAAGAGAACAGTTGTCAGCTGCATGTCATCCCGTAATGTCTAGACATGCGACGTTGAAAATCATGCAAACTTTGCTACTGCGCCTTGAAGTCCAAAGTCTGACCTCACGGGGGCCAAGTTTTCTTCCAAATTGCAATGCAGTTTGCGCTGTATTTGTGATTCTGTGCCGCAATACAACACAGTATTTGAGTGAATCGCGGCGTCGGGGGTTGAACCTGGAAGCTTAGATCCACAGATTCAGCGGGAGGGCGGGAGAGCATGGATCTGGTACAGTGCTCCCGTACGGTACGGAGCTCAGAGCTGAGAATGTTGGCCAGGGTGTTCCTGGCCTTGTGGGATTTGCTAGTCGACCACAATGGTTTGTCTGCCGCTTTGAATAATGCCGCGATCTTTCTTAGTTCGCCCGTCTTCTTCTCCATGTTTACGGACGTAATACTCTCGCCAAAGGCAAACAATGAGTCTAGAGACAGACTAGAGGCCGTAGGTTCCGACTAGGATCTGTGTCGATGTACCGCGCGTGGCTGGGGTCCAGAAGCAACGCGATGTTGCGCCGTTCGCGAGCTGTTAGCGGAAGAGCGGGAAGACTGGGATGCCCAGGCGTGGTTTCTGTTCTCCGCAAAATCTAGCGGCCGCATTCCCTGCAATCCGATATCTCGACCCTCAAGGTTCAAAGATGCTGTTCACATCACATCACATCAATCTAGCCACAACAGGACAGTGATTGGGGATGATGGGCGCACCTCGACGCCTCAAAGTCCGTCCGCCAATCAACGACGCGGGGTTTTGCTCGCTGCCATTGACGACTCCAGAAGATGAAATCCGACATAGGCAGTGGAGGGAAACAATATGTGTGATCTGGAGAAAAAAGAGATTGCACCGTGACAGGGGCGTCCTTCTGTCGCCTCTTTCTGGCTGAAAGCAGGTACGAGCGAGGCTGTTCACCTTGCAACCGGAGTCGACGATCGCCTCAACTCAATCGAATGGTTCAATGTCACCATGTCCGCAGTGTAGTATCCGTCATGTACAAAGGGAAATGAGGGCCCGAGGGCGAGGCACAAGAACAGTGTCTTGGCTATGCCGATCGTTAATCATGCCATATTTGGTTGCAAGAGAATTCATACTTATGTCGAATAATGTTGTTATACGTGCCGCACGAGCTGACAATGCAAATGGAAGGGTCGGACGTAGATGAGGTTGTGATGGCGAGCACCGATATCAATCAGTTGGGTACTGACAGTCTGACAGAACGGCGACCCGATCCACGAGGCAGATATAGCGTCTGACCGGATAAAATTGCGTCTTCCGCGGGACGGACGCTGACGAACGGCGGGCTCTACTGCGGCGTAGGCGGTAGGTAGTGTATCCGTACTGCGGGACGGGCAGATAATTGTTGCGCACTCCGCGAGCCATGGGGCCCCTGAGAGACGAAATGGGCGACGATCGTGGACGTTTTGCGATGATTGCGATTGTCAGCGGGCAGAAAGGCAGGCATCATGTTGTGTGAAAAAAGCAAAAGACCCTGGGCTGTTGGCTGATGACCGCGTGCGCAAAATGGCAAGGTAAGGTAGGTACGGCACGGATGCTATGCAGGCCGGGTGCTGCCTCGAGGCGGCGAGCTGTTGGTTCGAGCCGCCCATGCAAGACCGTTCGTTACTGACGGGTAGGTTTGCAGTGTAGACCCCGGATTAATGGCAAACCAACGCTCCGTCGAGTGCATCCGCGTAAACTCAACATGACGGAGCTCGGATGTAAATGGCGGCAGGTAGTGTCGTTGGAGCTAATTAGGTCCTTTGGGTGTTGTTGCCAGTTGGAAGAGAAGCTGTGGCCATAATTAGCCCGCATGATCCAGAAGTTGGCAGACTATCGATATGAGGTGATATCGTGACCTGGCGGGTTAAACTCCCGGCTAGGAGGGATAATCCTCTCAGATTGGGGGTAAAATAAAAATAGAAGCAGACGACGGTTGTTAGCTGGCGTGACTGAATTCTGCGGGTGACAGTAAACAGCTGCAGCGGCTGGACGATGTGACGAGCTGGATGACGCATGGAGAGGTGTGCTCAAATTAGCCCACATGTCAGAGTTGTAAAAGGGCAAATAGCGTGACGCAAAGAGGGTTAATTCGATCACGCACCATGGGCTGGGCGGCTAATTAGGCCGCCAGAAATAGGACCAGATGGGATCATGGATGAGGTTTGTTCCGAGGGTGACGGATGGCCCGACGGTCAGATGAACGGTACCTATCCGTACTGCGTAAGCAAGCAACTTATGGAAGGTAAGGTACAGGGAGGTGAAGATGATCCGAGTATCCCGTCTCGGAAGGTGGTGAGGGTGGTACTCCGATGCCGTAGGGCAACGTAGCCAAGTACCTTCGCTCACCAGGCAAGAGCGTCCTGTTGGCGGGAGATCACCATCATCGGCGGACCTTGCCCGACGTGCCTCCTCTAGACAGCAAACCTGCCGTGCGGCGGGCGGCGCGCCTGCCAGATGCATAAGGTAAGGAAGGTACCTTAGTTTGTCGCTCGGCAGCACTTGCACGGCACGGAAGGAAGCGGAGAGCAGGAGTAGAAGGGGAAAGAGATGAAGATATGTCACTGTGATTGGCTGAAATTCGTTAGGAAAGCACAAAAGCCAGATTTTGGCTGGCAGATGGTGGACAAGCATCTGAGGAACGTGCCATGCGTGCCTTCCGCTGCAGCGCCTCTTCTTCCCTACGAGGGCAAGAGCAAGAGCCAAGAGCCAAGAGGGGCAGAAAACATGGAGCCAAGGTGCCTTAGCATGCGAACCCCGCGAGAAGGTGCCCTGTCACTTGCCGCGCTCCTACCGCTCATTGGCCAAAGCTCTGCCCCCACTCGACGGGCTAGCTGGGGATCCCTGTCCAATATTCCTGCACGATCTCCTCGCTTGCAGCAAACAATAGCCAATCCGGGGCCGTAGCGGACCTCTCGCAAGAGCTTAAATCCCTGCGACATCACAGGCGCTAATAAACGGTTGGTCCCGAAGCCCTGCACGAGACGACAAGTCGTCACACCTCGCCGTCGAATCAACATCTGTGCCAGCCCTTTTGACAAAGGAACCTCGACTGCTCCGACAATGACGCTAACGACGTGCCTCTGTCGGGCTGTCCAAAGCAAAGAGGTGGCAGGTGCTGGAGACTGGAGAGAGAAAAAGAAACGCAGAGCAAATACCTCAACCGAGTAGTACCTACCATCGGGAGGATGAGTAGCCAGCCGCAACCTTGTCCTTGTACCTTTCTGCAGCCGTTATTCGCAACGACTGCGGAGCACAGCAGGCAAGAAGCAAAGAAATCCTTACGGCTCTGGCGGAGCGGAGCACCTTGCACGACATCTCCCGCGGTGCCATGATACCCCCTTGCTTGCTGCACCTGCCACCACTTTCGGCTGTAGTTGGGTATCGATGCCCAAGTACCGACCTCGACATCTTCCACTCTCCATCAAAACCCACTCGCCCATCTTGAGAGATGGATACTCGCCTCATTCGCCTATCCTCCCCACGATCCGAGGTATTTTCACTCTCTTATTATCTACGGATAGTCCAATTACACCAAGAACAAACCCACTGCTGACAGGCTATAGGCTACAGGATACAGCAAAGTACCCCTGAACTTCTCGCCATGCACGACAGAAAGTCCCAGTTCCACCGTATCAACTCCCGCAGCCACATTCGACCGACATTGAGTGGCCGTATGGACCATCCAATCCGGGAGCTGACCGCCTTTCTCGGCCTTCTCATTTGTGGATGCTCTTTAGAGGACCCTGTCTTGGTCGGTCGAGTCCAAGTCTTGAAGAAGACCATAAGGCAAGATGAGGTCCAACATCACTCTCGCCAGAGTCGTAAACCTATTACCAAAGTAGCAAACACTACGGGACCTAATTCGACGGGGCTTGAACTCTCACCCAGCATGGGTCTTTGGAGAACCAACAGCAATGAAGATCATTCCCAGAAAATGATCAGGCTGATTACCATATTTGATGCCGTCCAACGGGGGGCTCCAGCGATTGACTAGTCATGTCCCGCTCATGGTTATCCATCATGCAACCATGAAGCGAGGCTCCTCACATGGGATGATCGGATGAATCCACCGCGTTTGTCAGACACAGGGCTAATCTCACCAGAAAAGGTTGACAGGCCCCTATACCCATGCCAGCCCGTAGGTTCTTGCCCGGCTTTCGCTTCTGACTACGAATACCTACGGTAGCATTTCGATGATGGGCCCCGCAAGCTCAGCGAACTGTGTTGGTGGTTGGCAAGCTTCATGCAAGTAGGTGCGATCCTAGGACAGAGCTTGTTAGTGGGAGAAGTGGTCCACGACCAAATGTCTTTTGCAAGGGGGAGCCCGGCCAACTGTAGGCTGTAGCTCTGCTCATTGCTTGGTCATCTGTCGGCCCCCGAAATCCTCTACTCAAATTGTGCCATGGAAGGCCAACTTGGCGGCCGAGGGGGACCATCTATCGATAGTACTTGATGCCGGAGTCGGTGCTACGTATACAAGATAGGTCAAGGCCATACAGATACTCCGTACGGATACTGTTCTGTGTTTCTGCAGCTCCGGCTGCGCAATGGACTCCCGCGGGGTGAACTCGCGTCCGGGCGAACTGCTACTCGCAGCATCAAGTTTCCCCTTCCAGTCGATATTGAAGATCAGCATCTGCACCGGTCAGGGCCCAGACGACAGAGTGGACGCGGTATCGACGGCGGACAGCCGGAGAGGCATATGGCCGGATGGGGTACAACTCGATAGCAGGTTGGCAAGTCGGGTTGGGCAAACAAGAGGCGGGCCCCATGTGGTTCTGCATGTCTCTGCGTAGCGTGGTGACCAGGTGGTTGAAGGTGTGCTTGGCACCTTGGTCCCCATGGCCTGCCATCCAGAGCCTGCCATGGCAAGCCACGATATGCATGCGTTGCCCGTTCAATCGCTCGACAGCTGCTCGCACCCATGTCGTCCATCTCGAAGCTGCCCCCCCTCTCGACGCGGAAGTGTCCACTCCTATTCTATTCTCGGGTGGGGTCCAACAGAAGAATGCGACCGCCTTTGGCGGCCCATTTCCATTGGAGCATGTAAGCGCAGGTCAAAGTCTCACGCACTCGACGTGAAGGCGGCCAGCCGGCCTGCCTTGTGCCCTAGCCTACGTTAGTGTGGAATGCAGAGCAGACACACACGCACACACTCACTCACTCACGGCTTGGGGACGATGGAGACACACATACATAGGTGTATCCAAATTTAGAACAATATTGATGTTGGCTACGTAGTGAACACCAGGCAGACCACTCAAAGGCCCGTTGGTTGGCGCAACAAGAGGATGGTCATGATGAAGGCGGCCACAATATAAGACTTTGGACCATCCATCACGAAGAGTTGGATTCTGGCCTCCTCTCGTTGTGATCTGTAGAAGTCAAGCAGAAGAAGAAGGAAAAGTGATCCAAGTGTTTGTTCAAGGTTTTTTCTCTCTCATTCATACAATTGTTTTTTGATACCCTCCGTCCACAATCTTCGGAAAACCCCAACCACTCGAATACCACCCGATAATCCAGTTCAAGGCAAGCCGGACTTGCTAAACAACCAGTCACTCATTCGACACCACCAAAACGAAACAAAATCCACAGTCGACCACTCTCGACATATCTGCAATTTTACAACTTGCAGCACGCCCATTGCTTACAGTTCATGAAACGAGATCGAATTTGCTGTTGCATTTTGAACGACAAGGAAGAAAGAAAATAATTCAATAATCTGATACGATTTGGAACCTTGGGTTTCTGGAAACTCGACAATCCATTCGACAAACAACCCGGTCTCCCATCTCAAATTGCGTTGACAGCGGGCGAGCGAACAGACGTTTCCTGACCACCGAGTCCCCCCTTCGTCGAGTTCCCCCCTCTCCAATATCGATCCCAGGTTGTCCCCGCCTTTTTTTCACTCTTGGCTTCCAGGAAAGAAAGAGAAGCGAGAGAGCACAGAGGAACGAAGACTGCTTCACCCAGCACACACAAATCAGAAGAAAAAGAGGAGAAGACCACAACGCGCGCACTCGCACTCTCACACCCCCCCCCCCGGACCCCTGCTCGTTCTTTCCCCGGTCCAGAGCACAGTGTCGGTCGCTTCCGTCTCTACACAGTGTAACGGTTCCTGCCACGCCCCTCCACTTGTCGACCCTGGTCCCTGATCATTCCCGGTCCACCGCACATTCACACACCCTTCACCACACCCCTCCCTCCCTCCTCTCTCTCTCATCCGCCCCAGCCAGCCAGCTCTAGCTCTGTCTTCGCTGCTCGGCTTGTCATTCACACGCAGGTACCTCTATCGCGAACAGAAGAAGGGTACAAATGGCATCTCTACCCCCCAACCACATTCGAGACGACTTCATGAGATCAACAGCTGCAGTCAACATGGCCGTCGCATCTTCTGCGAAGGCCAAGTCGGCCTGCAAAGCCAACACCAACAACAGCAACAATGCCAGCTCCAAGGCAAAGTCACAAATGCACCGCCGTTCAAGGACAGGTACGTTCATCCCAAGAATCCCCTTGCCTCTCTGCCATCTTTTCCCCAAATACCATCCCATTTACCATGGTATTAGCCATACTTGACTTACACCCACAATCCAATCTCACTTACACGCGAGCGACTTTCCCTTATTCACCCCAAATCATGCCTCCCTCGATGGCCAAAACTCATCCGAACACTTGAGACTAATTGGTTTTCCTACAGGATGCTACACCTGCAGATTACGCCGCAAGAAGTGCGACGAGGGCTCGCCAATGTGCTCCGCTTGCAAACATCTTGGTTTGACATGCGAATACAAGCGCCCAATGTGGTGGAGCAACAACGATGCCCGCCGCAAGCACAAGGACGACATCAAGATGATTATCAAGCGCAAGAAGCTCTCGGAAAAGGCGTCGCACACAATTCAGACTTCCATCGGCTCTCCTCCCGGCCTGTCGCACTCTCTGCCCACCTCTGCTACCTTCTCCGACCCTCTGGACCGCACTCGCTCCGCCTCCATCGACTCGCACTTCTCCCAGGCTTTCAACTTCAACAGCCCGCCAAATGTCGGTGCCGAGTATGCTGCCTACAACCCCCAGATGCACCCCGACTTCATGTTCAGTGGCTTCCCCTCGCCCTACGAGATTGATGTCAAGACTGAACGCCAGGTCTACATGAACGATGTGCCCACTCTGAGGGAATCGACAATTTCCACTTTCAGCACCTACCACACTCCACCACCTCCAGGAACCATCCTGCCTTCCTCCGTGCCCCTCGACGGCGAGTGGACCGAGCAGATCTACTCTGAGCGCAAGGAGTCCCTTAGCGAGGAGGCTCTCAACGTCAACTTCTTCGACTTCTCTCATGGCCCGGCCATGTCGAACCGCCAGGTCGCAGTTGAGCTTGACGAGAACGATCAGCGCCTGCTGGACCACTTTATCCAATTCGTCCTGCCCACCATCTTCCCCATTCTCGACTCCAACCAACATGGCTCAGTCGGCTCCGATCTAATCTTGCCGGCTCTGCAGAGCAACAAGGGTTACCTGCACTGCTGCCTTAGCATCGCCGCCCAGCACTACAAGGCGACCATGAACGTTCCCGGAGAGGAGATTGACCAGGACATTATGCGCCATCGGTACGCCACCATCTCGTCTCTTTGCGACGCTTTGAACAAGGACGAGAACCACCAGGAGATTCTCGAGGCTGCTTTGGGTCTCATCTTCTTCCAGTGTGTCGTTGGTCGCTTCGACGACGCACTGCCCGACATTCCTTGGCACCAGCACTTCCAAGCTGCCATCAGCTTGGTCCAGAAGCTTGACCTCCCTCGCCTGGTGTCGGACCCCAATGAGCAGATGACCCAAACCCCCTTCAACATGACTTTGACCTCCTGGATTGATATCCTCGGCGCCACCATGCAGGGACAAGCACCCACATTTGCCCACACCTACCGCGAGAAGCACCTGTCGAACAACCCCAGCCTGGGTCTTCGGGAGCTCATGGGATGCGATGACCGTGTCATGTACCTCATTTCTGAGATCGCCTGCCTCGAGGCTCTCAAGGGAAGCGGCATGGACGACATTACTCTTTGCCAGCACGTCCACGCACTCGGCGACCAGATCAACCTCACCGAGATTGGCGAGCCTGGTCCCAAGATGCCTTACAACAACAATGGAAGCCTTTCCCCTAAGCAGCTTTCCAAGAACATGACAGCCGCGTTCCGCCTTGCCGCACGCATCTATCTTTGCAGCTTGGTACCTGGCTTCAACCCCGCGCAGGCTTCCTGCGTCGGCTTGGTTGAGAAGCTTGCCAACGTTCTCCAGCTCATTCCCTCGGGACCTGGAGGCTTCGACCGCAGTCTCGTCTGGGTCTACCTCGTTGGCGGCTCTGTCAGCATGCCTGGCAGCTCTTTCCGCGCCCTCTTTGAGGACCGCGTCGCCCAGCTTGGCGACGTCTCTGACTGCGGCTCCTTCGGCCGCGTCTCCTCGCTGCTCAACGAAGTCTGGATGCAGACAGGCAACATCAAGAGTAGCGACAGCTGCGCCGGCAGCCCTGGTTCCACGCAAGGAGCTGAGGCGGTAGCATACATCCACTGGAGGGATGTCATGCAGATGAAGGGCTGGGACTTCTTGCTCATCTAGCATCCTGGCTGGTTCCGGGTTGTATAGGTATGTGCAATAGGCTCGCCTTCCATCTGCATGGTATGTATATCGCCTCCGCAGAGGTGATTCAGGCAATCGCTTATTCCCTTTCGCGCAACCGGGGCTGCTTGGCAGCCTGTCTTGCACTGCTGGACACTTTAGAATTTTCTCTTCTGATCTTTCCCATTTTGATACCACATTTTTCTACATTTACACCAACCTAATCAAAGGTTGCTTTGGGTTTACTAGAAGGACACGCCGCAAGGCACACGGAGCGGACATGAACGATGAGAGCGAAGACACTTGGATCACACTTTTTACTTTTCTTCTGACTGGACACTTTCACGGGTGAGGGTGCACGGGGCAGCTGGGCCTGGCTGCCAGGATGATGGATGATGATGATGGATGATGGGAAAGGGACCGCCTGGATGAGGCCCTGGAACATGCAATGGAAACATGAGATGCGACGAACGACTATCCTTCCTTTTTCAGATGGAACACACTTTCGTCTGGTATCTTGGTTTTTCTTTCCTCTCTTGGGTATACCATAGCATGAGCACGGGAAACGGGCTTCATCGGAGTTTATGTTTGGGACTTTGGGACTAGCATTTCGGTGCATCTGGACTGGATCGGATGGATCAAAGAGAAGGGCTCTGGGAGCTGTGATGGGCTAGCTTCCCAGTTGACTTCTTCACATGGTACTCATTCGGTAGCCTTTTAACTCTCTACGGAGCAGTAGGCAGAATCGAGCAGGATTATAGGAATCATGTAATACCAAAACATTATACCCACCAATTTAAAAGCACTACTTTCCAATCACACCTTTTTCTTCTTTTACTGGGCTTTGAGAAATATGAAGAATTCCCTCACAGGTGGTGCCCACCGGACGAGTCCGAGATTTGTCTGGGCCGGTCCATGCCAGGGGTGGGGGGTTGGAGCAACTCGGAAGAGTACACAGCAAGGTAAGGTAGGAAAGTTCTCCGGCTTACTACTGCGTACTTGCACGGGTGTGGCGATCACCACCACCTTCCCCCCTTGGAAGCACTTGGGCCGAAGCTTACGCGCAAATGGCACGATGGAGGGGAGGGTGCGTAAGACGGGAGTGACGGACGAGAGGAACTGAGTACTGGACGAATTGAACATGAGAGAGAGAGAAAGAAAGAAAGAGAACAGCGATGGGGAGGTTTTCCTTTGGTAAATCGGAAGTAGAGGAGGGGGTGAGGGGAGGTGAAGATGCAAGTTGCCGATCGAGGGTAGTACAAAGGGCACTGTAACGTGTGTTTGCCAAGGTAAGGCACCCTACAGTGGCTTCCCTTACAGTACAGTGTCTTCTTTGGAAGCCAATTGAAGCATGTCGCGGGAGGACGCGGATGTTCGGATGCGATGGACATGGTGTAGGTAATTGGCTCTGTGGGTGGTCATGAGGTAGCGCAGGTTCAAAGGTTTTCCCCAATGAGGCGGACAGAGAGCTTGTTCTCTCTCATAGTGGGCTATAATACTATTCAACGCACTATAGCACACTTTACTCGCTCGAGTGTACCGACGCGATAGCGCCATCTTTCCTCGGACCTTTCTCTTCTTCGTCAATGCAGGTTGTTCTTGCGATGCCGGAGGGGTTTGGTTGCTAGGTAGAAGAGGGGGTAGAGGTATGGTGGGAGGTTTGGAGGGGTAAAGAGGTCGCACGAGCTGGTAGGTGGTGTTTGTACGGTGCCCTGGGGCTTGTGTATCCATGTCGGGGTCCTTTCAAGTCTGGTGGTGTCGGTGTTGTTGGACGGGAGGTGAAGAGATGGTTTGCCGGTAAGGTAGCGGTGAAGGTTGGCTCGGCTCGGTGAGCTTTGGCCCGGTGTGCGGCGGGGTGTTTTACCAGGTACCTTAGCTTGGGAGTGCCCTGCAAGGTGTACGGTTCAAGGTGAGCTCACCTGACGTCCATCCTCAGTCTTTGTGGCTTGTCTTTGGCCGGGATTACGAATTGGGTAATCCCGTTTTTTTCCTTCCCCCACACCGAGATACTTTAGTTGGGTTCTGGTTGATCACGAAAGAAGAGGGAGGGAGGGAGGGTGAGGTAAGAGAAAGATCAGAGATCGTTGAGTGCACAATGTTTCATGGATTGGATTGGAGGTCCGACATCAGTGGTGAACAAGGTCGTTTATTCAGAGTGCTGACGATATGATGAATTTTGGAAGAAGGGTTGATTGGAGACTAGGTATGGGGGCTGGGGCATTGGGAATGTGGCCACCGAGTTTGCTGGTTCTGCAAGAAACCCGTCGCTGTGGGATAGAAGAGAGTCAAGTCACCTAGGAGTCCATGGCATCATTCTTTTGTGTGTGTTCATGTTCGCTACTTTACAATGCAAGGGGGGTGGGTGTGCGTTTGTAAAACCATACAGCTGGGGTGTTTTGAGGGCCACAGTATCGAGTTAACTGTGGTCTTGAGATTCTGTTCATACGGGCTTTGATATCAAGTCTCAATTGTTCAGATTGCACACCCCTCTGTCATCCATCTAAGGTATTGACGAAAGGGAGAGAGGGAGTTTTTGGGTTTGTGCGGGGACTTACATCTGGGCAAGGAAGGGAAAAAAGAGACAGGGAAGAAGATAGGTCTCAGATGACGGAAAGCGAGATTCACCCAAGCTTAAGCGCCAACCACTTGCATATCCCGAACCCGTACCCGTTCCCCACGATTTCCGGGGACCGTTCACCGCCGTTGTTGAGTCACAGAAGACACTCAAGATACGGAGTACGCACACACATTTCGTATATGTGTGTGAATCACCGTGAATTGGCGAAAATGGAGTGGTCCCCTTGGGGGTTGGTCGATTCTCGGCGCCGATATCGTCTTGAGGGGGAGGGGTGCGCAAGATTGGTACCAGTATTAATTAGCGTAGTACGAAAACAGGGAAATTCATACAAGTATCCACGTGACGATGGTGTCTGTGGTTTGCGATTTGCCCTTCTCCCTTGCATGGGGCTTAAAACCTTGAAGCTTGGACAAAAGTCGTTCCCTCATTCCGCTCTAATTTCTCTGTCTTTTCATTTGCCGGGGGCCCTGCAGCGGATGAGACCACGGGACCGGACGTGCGTGGAATTCTTCGAGAGAGGTTCTGAGCGAATCCTGTATCGTCACATGGATGGGGGTGTGTAGTGTAGGTGTTGCGAGGTTGGCGAACGACGTTGTCCCGCTAGAGGGGCGATAGTGGGAAGAAGACCAGCATGGGCAGAAACATGGCAATCATGGCAATCATGGCAAGGCATTTTTGCTGCTCGTAGATCATTTGATTGGAGTGGATGAGGGAGCATCGGGTCGGGATGGGGGACCGCCGTTGTGGTGGATCATCATGGGCTTTTTTGGCGAACCCTGGGACTTGTGGCCGACACGACTTACACGCTCACCGACGGCGACGGCGAAGATTGACGGGGGTTCTGACGATGGCATCATTTTCGGAAGTTGAGAACATCAAGTGTTCACAAGTACACCCCTCCCCCCTTGATGAGCTGAAGCGAGAAGGGCGACGACGACGGTGGTGATGTTGCCTGGTACTGTAGTGTCGGCCAAGGCCGATTTTGGCCCGTGGACGTGGTAATGGTCTCCGGACCCGGTTTCCTCCATTGCGAGATGGGAGGCACGGCTCTTGACTGGAGGTTTGTCGTCTGCCGGCTGCCGATCGGTCAAAAGGTGAGGCTTTCGCGAGGCGGTCCTGTGACCCGTCTTTTGAGGGAACGTGAGGGAGCCGATACATGGCCAGCAGAGCGACTGGCTTATGAGCCTATGAGGTGAAAAGATACGGGAATAGCGGCTTCAATGGCTTCGGTGGCTGCAGTGGCTGGAACGGATGGCGTACGTCACGTGTGGCTTGGACGGGCCCAGTGGCGGGCCATTGAAGGTTGTCGTTGGGGTTTTGAGCCTAATTCCTCGGTCAATGTCCATGCCATGTCTTGAACCCTTGTTTTCTTAGGTAGTGAGGCCAAGGGTTGAGTCTCAATCCCTACGCACCACGAGTCTTCCCTGGCGTTGGTTACCTTAGTTGCTTAGCACATAAGATACTGAACAGTGTCATGAATGGGATAAAGCGGTTAAAGGCGGACGCCCCAAAAGAGTACAAAGTACCTGGATCTTTGCTGAAAAGAGAATGGGGCCTTGAAGGGGAAGGACGGACGCTAAAAGCAATGGAGCGGCCCAGCGGCCCCTCTGTACCCACTTTTCAGCGTCCGCCACCCCGGGCGCCTTTGACGCAGGGGCCACCCCTAAAGTCGGGGCCGCAATCGCCAGGAACGAATCATAGGCGCGCGTTTCGGCTGCGCGGCTACATTCTGGCACTTTGGATGACTCCTTTAGGAAATTCTATTCTTTGACTGGCGACTCGCCAACCGCTCACAACCTCTCATTCTGCTTCAACCCTTCGACCCCTTCCTTCACCATGGACCCTTAACAACCAAGGGAAATAGAAAGTCCCCACCACCAAAGAGACACTCCAACGACAGCCTCTCGTTGTCGCTAGCCCAGCGACTACCCAGACCAGCACTGCCTCACGGCGAGACTCTCTGCCGCCCAACGTTGCCAATTATCTGCTATCGTCGCTACTCATTTGCTAATTATTGATATCCGCCAATGGTTTCCGAGCCTTTTTGGGGGTAGGGGGCCGCGAGGTCTGAATTTTGGCCGCTGATGCCCTATCACACTCTCCCATGATGGGAAAAGCTCGGGGTCCGTTGTCTTTCTCATCGACATGGTGACACTGGAGACGTCCAGAGTTCGCAGCACCATCGCTCCACCATTTTCACGCCCGCTGCGATCCAGTCGCGCTTGCAGAGCCCAAGGTAATCTCTGCAAAGCAGGAGCCCCCTCTCGTAAACCCTCGTAAGTCGCCGCGATGCCACTCTGGGGCTACTTGGTTGGCCACCGACCAGCCGGCCTTCTTAGGCGAGGTCGATCGGGTGGCATTGTTTCTTTGGGCACAGGCAAAGGCTCGTTCGTTTCGGAGCCGCGCAACAAGTTTGATAGTCGAACCTGAAAGAGCCCTTTACGTTTTTCTTCTTTTCTTACACTATCGCTAATGGAGTCCTCCGCCGAGTGGCAGTCGTAGGGGTCCGAAGACCTGGCCCCCATGCCGCCCTGCCACGAAATCGAGCCAGACCAAAAAAGATTGGGCTTGGATGACTTTTGGCTCAGTATGGGGTGGGAACGACATCGTCATCTCATTCTTCGGGTCATCGCCCGATTCTTCTCTTTGCTCACCTTTTCATTCTTGTTGTTTTCTGCATCTTTCCTCCTGCGGTCATCTTTGCTCGATCAGACTGCTTCTTGGTTCCTTTTGTGAAGCCTCTTGCCACCTGATGAACAACACAGTATTCACTCCTTGTCTTACACCCTTTCATCTGTGAATAGCGACAATCCCATTGTACCTGCTTGTCCCTTTCAACTCGAAACTTCTTCAACCTACGACTTACTTCTACGCCTTTGTGTCCCGTTTCTCCCCCCCAGCAAAGGTCTCGGGGCCTCGTCCCTCTCCTTCTGTGGTCATGAACCATTGACACAAACCGCCACTTTGACTCCCGACTTACACATCTTTTGATACGCACCTCTGACTCTGCGGTAAGAGCTCAGTCTTCACCGCCGGCCCTGCAACACCATCAAGCAACGTCCCGGCTGAAAGAAGCCCAGCTACTACACTATCATAAACACAACACATACTCTGAACTCGGAACATGTCTAGATTACGAAATTGCACACGAGCCGCGGTGCTCTCCATCCTCATTGCCTCCGCTCATGCCGCCTCTATCCCCTCCGTCTTTGGGCGACAAGACAACACATGCGCCGCCTCGGGCTTTACCTCCTGCGGCAACGGCCTCCCGGGAAACTTCTGCTGTGGTATGGGCAAGAAATGCATCACTCTAGCCGGGAACACCACCGTTCTCTGCTGTCCCGAAGGCGAGAGCTGCGACAGAATCTCGCCCATCACATGTAACATCAACCTCCAAGATCCCGTGGCACACCCCGATGCCTCCATCAAGACCACTGTCCTCAACGGCAAACTCGCAACCTGCGGCGACAGCTGCTGCCCATTTGGATACAGCTGCAATAGCCTGTCGCAGTGCACGAAAGATTCGGACCAGACCAAAGCACCAGAGGAAGCGTCTACCCCTGTTCCAAAGCCGACGTCGACAGCCACCGCCGTCCCGAGCGTGATTCCGACGACCATCGCCGCCAGCACGACGCCCGCGGGTGATAACAACAATAACACTAACGACAACGGCGACAGCGACAACAAAAACGGCACCTTCCCCACCGCCATCGTCATCGGCTCCCTCGTAGGCCTCCTCGTAGGCGTAGGTCTCGGCGTCGCCCTCCTCCTCTTCTGCGCCCGCCGTCGTCGCCGCGGACCCCCTCCACTAAGCGAGAAGGAACGCGGCGGTAGCGGTGGCCCTCGTCCGTCGACATCGACCTCGTCTTTTGGAAACATCATCTCGGAACCCATCCCCATCACGGATCACGCCACCGTGCGGACGGACTTTATCCTAAAGACCCCATCCACGACGCACTCCCGCTCGCGAAGCGACTCCGGCTTCGTCACCTCGCCCGCGGGGTCCACCCCCAACAAGGGCCACAACCGCCTCTCCTCGACGGCGACGACGCTGGCGCACCATCCCATCGGTCTCGCGCGCAGCGACTCGGCCCCGCGCACGCCGCCCGGGAGGGGAGCAGGCACCGGAGCCGTCGCTCCCATCAGGGGCATGCGTCCCAACTCCGGGTCCAGACGTCTCCAGCCGCCCAACGTGCCAAACCCGCTCGCCCCGCCGAAGCCGGGGTACATCAACAATAGCAACAATCAATCCCACCTCCAGCGCGAGCCGAGCAGCGAGAGCATCAGCGTGTTCGCGGACCCGCGGACAGTGGGCGGGCGGCCTGGGGTGAAGAGGAACACGACGTTCACGGAGATGATGGAGGAGGCGGAGCTTGGTGACGTGCGGAGGGGGAAGCCCTACGTGCCGTATACGCCGCAGATGCCGTCGCAGGGTGGTCGATGATCGATTTGCCTCAAGGGGGCTGAGGGGGCGATGGATGTTGAGTTTGTCTTTCTTGATGATATTGAAGTTTTTGTAATGTCGGCAATACTTGCTCCTTCGCTTCTTCTTCCTTTGTTTCCTTCTTCACCCTCTTTTCATATTTTTAAGAGAAACATATAACATGCTGGACATGGAGACGGGGATTTGGGGAAGAGTGTGAGCCTAGTAGACATTCGCTTAGAAGACTTGGGCAGATTGTACCTCGCGGCAGTGGCAAAAGGGGCGTTTCGTGTTTTTCTTTGTTTCTGGATAGGATTATATACCCACGGTCGCTTTACTTGTTTTTGGTTGTTGGTGTAGGTTGAGATACATAGTCTGACTAGTTGAAGCCTTAGTGACGCTTGAGTAGGGAGAGGATATATACATACGTATTTTGTTCATACGCATGTATATGAAAAAGCTCATCTGTGACAAGACTTCCTTGAGAAATGATATGCTCTGTGATTTGGCCCATGTTGAAAGAGATGCGTGTAGATGCTAGCTTTAGATAGTCCCGGTAATGGTCTCGAGAGCATAACAAGATGTCGGTCATGAACCTCAACAGGGGCGGCCTGTTCCCGGCACCTGACAGACGAAAGCGACACAGGAGCTCTGTGAAACTACTTACTATAATGGCAAAGTCTTAGTAACGCAAAGTCGCCAAGCGCCGCTTCACTTCTACCAAAAGCCCGCACCGTACCTTTCTCGATAAAAACCACCCTCATCACGAAACAAACGACGACCACCAAGACCGAATCTACACATCTCGTGATACATCCCCAACCTCACTTCGAGCCCTCCCAAAAACAATTGAACCAACCAGCAAATCAATAAGGACAGAATGATCAGTAGGGAAAAAAAAAAGGCCTAAAAGTTCGGACACAGTCGCACGACACCCGGGGATGAACCCGCGATGCCGGCAATCGATGGAGGATCTGCAATCCTATGAAAACCCCACCCCCACCCCAGGGGAATTTTCTATCAGGTATTTAACCGCTCGACTACAGAGGCCCAGAGCGTCCCCTGGGGTTCGAGGGTATACAGAAAATTCTGAGTGATAAAGGGTCGTAGGGGTGGGCAGTGTGGGCGGTCAGGGTGTAAGAGGTGTAGCTTGTGACCTTGGGGGATGAGTTGGGATGAAAGGGTGTTGTTGAGTGTGAGGCTTGGAGGGCTATGTGTCCCGAAGGCTACCGTGGGAATGAGTGAAAGGGGTGTCATAGGAGGAGACTAGTCGTAGAGGCGAGTAAATGGTCAAACTCTTGGAACATGATGACCTCTTGCGTCCACGGTCTCACGCCGTAGAGTCAAATATTGGTCATTAGTGACAAGAACAAGAGACTGCGAATTTTTTTGGTATTTCCTACATCATGACCTGAGTGAAGATGGTCGTGAAAATAAGAACCTCGAAACCTAGTTTGTGTTGATTCACACGCTTTACAGTGTCGTAACAGATTTTCCAACTTCCTTTTGAGAGATATACCGAGTCCACGATTATCATGAACCTAAAGAATGTCCAGGTAGAACCCCCATGGCATTTACCATGAGGAACGACCACCAACTTGCCTTTTGTGTATGCAGATGGAGTGGTGAGTCCCAACATACGGACCTGCCTCCGTCTCGTTCAAGGTGCCTAGTGTTTGATTATGACTAGAGTCAGGGGATTCGCGAGAATGCATACGAATAGACGGAATGGGGTAACCCGGGGATAATCAAAGATCTAAGCTCGTCTTATCTGATTGACATCCGGGCCCCCTCTTCTTCCACACGGAACTTGCAGTTCTTTACAGAGTAGTGACACGATCTTTGATTGCGGACAAGATGAGAAGTCTAAGTAAGGTGGTACAGGAATAGTACATTGTTATTCTGCAACACAATCCCCCCATCTTTAGTATATGCAGCGGTTTTCTATTCTTACAGCTTCCTCTTTGCCTTTTTGATAATTCCTACATGTAATCCTCCAGCCCGCCCCTCCTCTGCTACTATCCACACAAAGACTTGCAGTGCTGAGGTTGGGACATCTCGCAGGGTTCTCACCCCTTTCTCCGCATCTGCTCCAATTCTCTTTCGCCAGGTTTGGTTCAGGCTCTGTTGTGGGTGATTGGTACTCGCGTAGCCAATCGTTTCCTAACCCAACCAGGCCTGATTCCGCCAAACTCTTAGAGACCCCCACACAAGTCATCATTTGCCCCCTTCTTTTTCTTCGTTTACCGCATGAACTGTGGCCGAGAAGGAATGTCCGCCGCGAGGTTGACAGCCTCCCAGTCAATAACCTCCCACCACGCCTCAGCAAACGCCTTCTTACCGCCGCGGCCGCCGACGCCGAGCCCGTAGTCGCGGATCCACGTGTGCTCCCACGTGTTGAGGCACAAAAGCGGCACGGCGTCCAGCGCGCCAGGCGGCTTCGTTCCGGGTCTCTGGGCGGCGGCGCTGCGCTGGAAGTACTTGTTGGCGGAGCCGCCCAGGCCGACGGTGTTCATGTCGGTGCTCTGGAGGCGCCAGTGGGCGCCCGGGTAGGGGGAACCGGCCAGGTAGGTGGTGAGGATGCGGTAGTCTTGGTGGCCTGCCTTGACGAGCCAGACGAAGCCCGGGCCGAACATGGAGGAGGCGGTGAGGATCATTTCGCGGCGGAGTGTGTCGATGGAGGAGAAGGAGTGGGAGAGCTCGGCAGCGAGGGACTCGGGCATGGGTTTTGGGTTCGGGGTGATGTTCTTGAAGAAGAAGTGGGTGTTGTGCGCCATGGAGGCGTTGTTGAAGACGGGGGCTTGGGAGGGGTCCTGGGCTGAGGCGAGGAGGATTTGCTTGACATCGCGCTGTTCGAGGTCGGTGCCTATTTTTGTTGTGAGTTAGCATTAGTTATCTCTGGCTGATACTTTATATCATATTATATGCAATTGAACAGTTCGGAATTGTCATGCGACAGGAGCTTGGATCGCCAAGTCAGGAGAAGCTGAACAGCGTAGACTGACCTGCAATCAAGGCATTGAGCTTGTCAAGGACAAGCGTCATGTACTGGTTCCACGCCATGTCGTAGCCGTCGGCCGACAGCAGGCCCGGAACGCCGTCCTTGAAGTCGTGGGAGAGCTGGGGGACGTAGTGTATCGAGCGCTGCTGAAGAGGTCTGGCCGGTGCTGCTCTGGCGGCGGCGGCGATGCCCGCGCCGATGCGCGGTAACCTTAGTCGTGAGAACATTGTTGTGGTATGTGTATAATGGAGTCCTCTTTCGACGTTCGCCGGTGGAGTTGGGAGAGAAAGTCGGTACGGGGGGCGTGATAGGGAGGCTTCGCCGACGAAAGGGAAAGCTGTAGGCCGGGAGCTTCGACGATGGTGAACTTTTTTTGGGACGGCTGTTCCCGCGTGTCCAATTGGCGCGTTCATTTGTGGCCTTATGATTGAGGCGCGAAGACGTTCCGAACTTTTGTGGGGTCATTTTCGGGGTGGGTCCACGGGTCGGAGGGAGCATTTGGTGATGGCTTCAGCTTACAAGATGAAATTTGCATCTTGCATCGCAAGACGACTCATGAGAACCATCTTTCAAGAAAGTGAGGAAGACAGACAACACAGTGGTGGTTTTCCTCGCGACTGATCAAACTGGGGTATTTTCCGTCTGCGCTTGCCCAGTCTCCTCGGATGGTTCGGTTCTAAGCCGTGAATGCACCAACATCAACTACAACCCCGTCTTCAATCAACATCGACACTCGTCATCCCGCCCCTCCTTACAACTTCGTAGTATCATTCTCTTCACGGCCAAGATTCGAAAAGGGCGACAGGAGACGTAGCCGCCGACCTCAGCGCCTACAGCATAAATCCGGTTCCCGCCCACATCGCCTGCCTAACCGCCCGCGCGCCCGCTCGTCTTACACACACCCACCCACCCCCAAGAACTGACTGGGCGCTTACACAGTATTGAGAACCACCGATGAGCAAACATCGTCGCTGATCTTTCTTGCGCGTTCTGCGTGAAGGGGGCGCTGCAAACTTGCACGTAAGGTATCTTCTCTCATCAACCTTCACCGACAAACAATTATCACTTCACTGGCGAGTGCTCCCAATGGACCGGAATTAAAAAAAACCAGCGAATCACCTGATCTGCTCCCAGCAACAAGAAGGAACCCATGTCAACAATCTTCATCAAAAGTGCATCATGAACTTGGGTGCCGTAATTAGATACAGCCCACACCGGAGTTTCCCCCATTCGTTCATCGCGAAGAATGTCGGAGATCAGACGATCTGGACTGCCTACCTATACCTAGCAGGGGCGGTATGGTTGGACAGCCATCGGCTCATTTCGAACCCCCCTTCCCCCATCTCAAACCGAGGTATGCTGGAAGGTTCACAACAGTTGGGACCGGTCAAATAGACGAATACCTTGAGGCGACTACTTTTACTCCTTCAACTTATGGACCTATGGCTTTACGATCAACTCAGAGGCGCCCATTCTTGTTCCTATTCAAGCTCCTTCTTCCTCAAGTTTTTACTCGATTACCAAGTCCCACGTTGGCACTTTGCCGGGCAAACATCGTCTTCCCCTACTTGTACTCAACTACCAGCAGCACCGGGATTCACTCATCAGACCACGGGAATTGTTGAGCGCTTCTTTGCTATATGCCATCCTGTTCCCCGATGTTGGCAACTATTCCTTCACCAACGATTCTTGCATTCATTTAATAGCAGTCTTTACGAGATATTTGTCTTGATTCTCAGTATTCAAAGGTATGGCCATGAATGAACGCCCCGGTACATGCAACCCAATCCAATCCTATGCCGAATGACAGCCTGATACCGCGGAAATCCCCACGGAGCACCACCGAGGAGGAGAAACGTCATATACAAGAAAAAGCCGCCAGCCTCGAAACTTCAAACTTCGTCGTCTTCAATCATGCCAAGGACATCCAGCTCCGTCTTCACCAATCGCTCAAACTCATCCCTGTCGATACCGGACGAACGAGCCAGCAGGAAGAGACTGCGAATGCTCCTCGACACATGCTGCTTCACGCCGAACTCGTTCTGGTCCTGCTTGCCCACGCTCTCCTCGAGCTTCTCGACCAAGCGGCTGCTGTTGCTGCTAGCGCTCGAAGCCGGGCGCGGGTGAAGGAGCACAGCAGCCCTGTCCTCGTCAATCTGGCTGTGAATTGAGGGCGACCGCGGGGGTTCAGCCAGCGTCCAGGAGCCATTTGTTTCATTCAGACCCTGATCCGAATTATGCTGGCCTACGACAGCGCCGAGTCCTAGAGGAGGGGCCGTCTCGAAGCCCTCAACTTCTTCGTCGGGGTCGTGAGCGTCCATTGCCGGTTGTACTGAATCATATTGCGCATAGTACGCATCCTCTGCCGAGTCGGTTCGGAACTGGCCCAGCTGCGACGCCTGTGGTACGTGCGGCGCGGGGGAACGCTTGACGGCGGCGGGGGACTCATTTGCTGGCGTGCGGGCAGGAGTTGCGTCGTATCTGTCCCAGTAGCCATCGTCCTCGTCGTCATCCGCCTCGACAGCGTCGTTGTACGCTGAGCTGGCTGGTGCCTTTGACGTCGTCGTCGCCTTTGACTTCTCGTCTGCATAAGCCTTTTCGGCCTCGGCGATGGTCGAATAGCCGCCAAAAGTTCCAAAGGGTGCCGCCTTGTCGGTGACGCTAACCTCGCCGATCCTCCAGCCGTCGCCACCGCCATCCTTGTCGCCGACGCAGTAGATTAGTTGGAAGGTCAACTCGAGCTCCTCGAGAGCAACAAAGGCCTGCAGGGTCTCGAGATCGAGCCGCCTGTACCTCGTCTTCGCGTCGTATTCCCAGTCTACCTCGACCTCGCCAGATACGGGATGAGGCTCTAGCCTGCCGCTCTGAACAATCTCTGCCAGGCGCGCCGCCTTGTCGGTGTCATATGCGAGGAGACGGAGCCATGGCTCGGTGCTGGCCTCTGAAAGGAGTTGGACTCTTTGCCTCAGGATAGGGCTGAGAAGAGGCAAGACGCCGATGGCGGGCTGTTTAGAGATGCTTGCTGGCACGAGAGCAGGCAGTAATGGAGCCAAAAGGCCGCCGATGTTGGGCATCGGTGTGGTGGTTGAAGTCATGTTTGTGGTTGTGATACAGGTAAGGGTATGCTTTCAGAGATATCGCTCCCTCGCGGCCACTCCTTGCCGGGCGGGGGATGTAAGATGTTTGAGGAGGCGAGATGCTACTGGTCTACTCTGAGCGGCTGTGGTGGTTGGTAGTGTGTATGTGTTGGCGGCGGCACTCGTGACGGTAGGTATCACATGCGGCAGCGCGGCTGAGTATATTGGTGCTCAGTTCAGCCTGCCTTGGAAATCTCTGCCTCTTGCAGTTGGGTCTGGGCAGAGGGGTAAGTAAGTAAGTGTTGTAAGATGTGATGTATGAGAGTATACACGGTAGAGAGGGGATCGCAGAGAAGAAAAGGAGGAAAAGTCGCGACTATTATGAGAAGCAGGTGTGAGAGGCGAGAGCGAGACGACAAAGTCAAAGGTATGGTCTCCGTCGAGTTACGCAGAGTCGGCGGCCCCACGCTCGATGGCTCCGTGGCTCCCCCTTCTCCCGTCCCAGATCCCAAGGAGCCAAGGGCCAACAGGTCCAGATCCACCTGGAAAAGGCTGGTGTCGACCTTCCCGGGTGACGGATACTGCGTAAGTTAGTGAGTTCGGTCGGGGGGCTGACCCCACAGTTGAGGGGAGGCAAGGGCGGGCAAGTCGCCAAGGCAGGCGGTTCTGGCCAATGCGGAGGCACATTGAAGCAGGTCAAAGGCAGCTGCGACTCCGCCCTGAGCAGTCGTTTCGGACGGAGGGAAGTTGACCACTGACGGTCGACCCAATGCGACATGACTACTTCCCTGCGCAGTACCTCTCTCCGAACTTTCCTCCACTGGCTACTTGCCCAGGTGTCCTTGACAAAAGGCGAGCTGACCAATGACATGCTGCTGAGGTCTCTTGCACGTGTCAAGACTCTTCGCTGCTCATGGTACCAATACCAATTTGCAGACAATGGGATTTCCGGCTCCAACTTCCGTGTGTCCTTGCCTTCTCATCCACGTCTCGTCTCATTTCGGCGTGGCTTGTTTGGGGCTGCTAGTCTCACGGTTGTTTTTTCTCTTGCGTTGCGTTCCGTCTCTCGTTGCCGGCCCTGTCTCTGTTTCTCTCTCCTCCCAAAATATCCGTACGTGGTGGGAAAATACCCGGTATCGGTACCATGCTTCTCGTTTCTCGCGGCTTTCCCGGCGCCTCGAAACAGGAGTTGCCGAGCATTGACGAGACAAAGACATTTGTCAGGACTGCTTTCCCACATGGCATTCGCTCAGCGACCACATTGCCATGTCTTTTCTAGACTTCTTTCCTCAAATGTCTCTGTTATCACCATCACTAGGTGAGGCGTACAATGGTGACATATGCAGCACAGGCCCCTGATTGAGGCGCTCTTCCTGTAATTTCTTCTTCTCTTGCTCTGCCTCATCGTGTCCTCTGTAATCATCAAAGTGTTATCAATATAGGTCACGAGGGTTCACCTACCATCGTCACAAGACAGCGAGTCTGAGAACTCGAGATATGTCACCACATTCCTTCTCCCGCAGGCAAGTCTCGCAGCGAGTCCCGTGAGATAGCCAAGCCCCCCTCTCGTCTCTTCTTTTCTTCTTCACTTTTTTCTGATCGTACGTATGTCATGTTGAAATTGAACTTGCATTTGCATATTGCATCTGTCCGTGGTCTTCCATCGCCGCTCGCTCTTCAAGACTCTCGCCCGCTATGTTTCCGTCCGCACGGGTGAAGGGGACCAGACCCTGCGTGGCTATGCTGGCACGGCTGGCTAAGCTGCTTATGGTGACTTTTCATCCATCTAACAAAGACTCAATGCGAGGAAGGTGCCCCTGCTGCAGCCCGCAGCTTGCAGTCACGCCCACAGTGGAGCCAGGCCGCAGTAAACATCCCCCGAGCTGCAGTGGCCAAATGGGAGCATCGAGAAGGTCCCGTGCTTGACAGCCCGCTATCGTCGAAATTGCGTCACACTGCTTGGGGTCTCCCAGCACAGAATTCGGGGTCGGTTCCATTCAGGCAAGGTAAGGAAGCTGGGGGTGTTTGCACACGATAAGGCCAAGCAAACTTACCTGCCCGGACCTCAACTTACACTAGTACTCGGAGCTACTCATCTTACGTACAAACAAAAAAAATTCCACACACGACCAATATCAACGGAAATTCCAGAATAACAGCGACATCTAGCGAACAGACGTTAGAAGATTGTTCAGTTTCCTCACAATCCCGAGGGGGAAAAATTCCTCAAACACGCTCACCATCAATTGAGACTCCTCAGCCTCATTGCGGAAGCCTCAATTCCTGCTGTTTTAGCTTCCCGTCATCGCCACACAGAGAAACGAATCACGACGGACACCTCGCCGTGCCATCTCGGATCGCGCCGCTTGGACGGACACCCACAGACGACACCAACCATCTGACCTTGATAAACCTCGCACACCCGGGCCCGAAGCTCACTCGTCCATCACCGAAAGTCAGAGGCAAGCGAGCAGCCGTCTGTCCGCTTTGCTTCTCTCTCTCTGTCATCCATTCCACTGCATTTTAGAGTTTCTGCGCCAGGTCCCACGAGGACACTACCGGATGCATGTCGCCCAGCGGCGAACGCCTCAAGGATGAGGTAAGGCTAGACCTAGACCTTCTCACGCCTAACGTGACGGCCTCTCCGACCTGTCAACAACCCAAAGTCACGTCACGATGCTGACACACTGTTCGCGCCCAGGGCTCCCGTCTGCAGGTTGTAACGGCCGGCGCCACCGCCGGCTTGTTTGCTCGGTAAGACAAAACCCAACGGTTGAGGCTTAGTGATTCACGCTGACCATTGCCGCCTTTTTCGCGATAGCTTTGTCATTGCCCCCCTCGATGTCGTCAAGATCCGCCTGCAGCTGCAGACGCACTCGCTCTCCGACCCTCTGTCGATCCGATCAGCCAGGGGCGGGCCCGTGTACAAGGGCACCCTGAACACCATGAGGCACATCATCGCCAACGAGGGCATCACTGGCTTATGGAAGGGCAATGTCCCCGCTGAGATGATGTACGTGTGCTACTCGGCCGTCCAGTTCACGACGTATCGCACCACAGCGCAGTTCCTCAAGACCGCCTTCGACAATCGCCTACCGAACGCCGCCGAGTCCTTCATCGCCGGAGCCGCTGCCGGCGCGGCCGCCACGACCGCTACATACCCCCTCGACCTCCTACGAACCCGATTCGCGGCGCAGGGCAACGACCGGGTGTACACGAGCCTCCGGCGCGCGGTGGCGGATATCTACCGAGATGAGGGCCCGCGCGGCTTCTTCCGCGGCCTCGGACCCGGCGTGGCGCAGATCGTCCCGTACATGGGCATCTTCTTCGCTCTGTACGAGGGCCTGCGGCTGCCGCTGGGCGATCTGCACCTGCCGTGGGGCGGCGGCGACGCCACGGCCGGCGTCGTGGCCAGCGTGCTGTCTAAGACGGCCGTCTTCCCGCTCGACCTGGTGCGGAAGCGCATTCAGGTCCAGGGGCCGACGAGGGCACGGTACGTGCATAAGAATATCCCCGAGTACCCTGGTGCGGTGCGCGCCATGCGCATCATTTTCGCGAAAGAGGGTGTTCGCGGGCTGTATCGGGGTCTCATGGTGAGTCTTATCAAGGCTGCGCCGGGGAGCGCGATCACAGTTTGGACGTACGAGAGGGTTTTGAGGGCGTTGCAGAGACTTGATGGTTCCGATGACCAGCGGTTTTGAGCTTTTCTACACGGACGAGAGAGAGAGTAAAGGAGACACCAAAAGTTGCGCGTGGGCAAAAAAAAACATGATACCCCTTTTTAGAGAACGGGAATGGGATAGAGAGTTCCCTTGTACAACATTCTGAAGGTTATAGATACATCCTTCACATATAGATAAGACGTAATACATGGAAGGTGCTACTGCTGCAACGCGGGATAAGCCGAGGCCGTTAGAGCAAGTGTCTTACACGTTCCGGCTCCGTGTGAAGCTCCAATATGTGACACTTGCCTGTCGGACTAAGAACTAGATCCAGGCAATTTCATTTGCGATAGCGTTGAACTTGCACTAAGCTGAATCACTATTTAATTGCGCCGAGGAAGATACACAGGCCAAATATGCCAGAGCAATAGTAGCCTACTACCAGTATGGTTGTCATACGATGTGCCTGATGTCATTGACCGTATCTTCTACCAGTGCCTCTCTTACAAGCCTCACCAAGTTGATACCATTTGATCGCGTTACTTGTTGCAGCTGTTCCCCGGCTCCAACTACGTCTGGCGGAGTACTCTCCAGTCTCCGACGGGAGACGGAGAGAGACGTGGGGGTTAGTAAAGTAGTCAGACAAGATTGGTTAAGGCCAACGAATCCCATGCCTTTACCTCAACCACGGTGCGTCTGGAAACTATTATGGGCATCTGAAGAAGACATGTATCACACTGTGTGTGGTCGATATCTTCCACATTTCGCAGAACTGACTACCCTAAATAGGGAATAGATGACGACTACCTCGGGGAAGGGGCCCACTGGACGTCGGATCTCTCATCATGCAGGATGTTCTTGCTATTGAATTGCTACTTACCTTATGTCCAGGAGTAAACGCGTAAGCGACGTTGGCCGGTAAATTAAGGATAGCTCAATGCCTGATATAGGATTGGTCTAAACTGAAGGTCTCTAGAATCTTACTATCCGTAGCAGATACGCAATGCCCTTCATTTTTGGTTTTTCGCTTACGAAAGAGCTGGAATGGTCGACTATTGAGTTGCCCAAAGAGTCAATTATATTATCCTACGAGTTATATGTTGACGAGCGAATCTCATTCCTCGAGAATAGCGTGCTGCCCTAAGGCCATTGTCAATCACCTCATGTATTATACCTTTACACTCACTCCATGGTTGGCCTCGACTAAGAAAAAAATGAGTCAACGGGGGGGCTCGAACTCAAGACCTTCAAAAGAAGAAGCCACCAGGGTCAATTTTCTTTGGGTTGAGGTCGGGAGTGGGCAGTCCCAACTATTAGGCCAAAGAGATCTCCTCATCCGATGGTGACGGAGGAGGCAAATAACCAATCTATAGACCATAGGCGGTGACTAAGTGTATGAATACTCACGTCTATTGATGCCAAAAATGTATATTCAAACCACCAAGCAGGATCAGCAACAGACACCAATTTTCCCATCATCTCTTTAGTTCTCCAACGTTCCATTCTCCTTCAACCCAGCCACCTCGCCCGCATTCACCCGGTCCGCCCTCTCCGTGCACTCCTCAATCACCCGCCAGAACATGGGGATATCCAGCCCGCGCGGTATCCTCACGCCCTCGCTCCCCGGCGGCAGGGCTTTCGCGACGGTCCGCCCCAGCTGCGACTTGCCCGTCTTGGCCTCTTCGAGGTCGCCCTCCGTGACGACGGTGAGCTCGAAGCGCTCGTGGTACTTTACGCAGTTGCCCTTTTTGGCGTCGTAGTCGTGAAAGGGGATCTCGTGCCGCGTGCCCGTCAGCACAGCGGCCACGGCGAGGGGGTCGTGGAGGGGGGGTCCGGCTGTGATGCCGAAGACGTCGCTTTGTTCCATTCGTGTTAGTTACTCGAGATAGTTGTGAAGGGTGCGTGTATACAACATACCTATACGTCTTGGCGAAGAACATGAGCAGCTCAACCAACATCTGCCTCAGCGTCGTCTTCCCCTTACCCGTCTTCTCCCCGCCGTGCGTGCCATACAGAAGCGCGTCCCGCACCTCCTCAGTGGCAAGAACCTGATGCGACAAGTCCAAAGGCACAAGCGTCGTCTTGGCCGCGAGCGCCTTATTATGGAACACGGCAGCTGCGGCCTCGGGGTCAATGATAATGTTGAACTCGGCCCACGGCGTCCAGTTACCCACACGGGGGACACCGTCCACGACACCCAGCACAATGTCAGTGAAGCCGTCGCCGATGGCGCCGCCCATGATGCTCAGGCCCTTGAGGTGCGCGACCAGGTCCGGGTACTTTGCGAAGAGCTCGGCGACGTTGGTGAGGGAGCCCGTGGCGACGAGCCAGGCTGTTCCGGCGGGCTGGGCGGAGAGGGCGGCGGCCATGGCGTCGATGGCGGGGACGGAGCGGTCTGCGTCTTTGGAGGGTTGGGGAAGCAGGTCGGTGCCGTCTAGGCCGGATTCGCCGTGGATGTCGGTGGCGGCTTGCATGGGCGGGCGGGACATTGGCTTTGCGGCACCGACGTGGACGGGGATGTCATTGTGTTTGCCGATTGCTGTGAGGATTGAGGTGGCGTTGTTTGTGGTTTTCCTGAGATTGTGGTTAGTATTGGGATTGAGTGATCATGAGATGTGTAAGAGATGCGGGATGCGGTTTGATGTTCACTCACTCAAGAGGGGCGTTTCCGAAGACGGTTGAGAGGCCAAGGAGCTTTATTGTTGGATGATAAGCTGCTAGGAGGATGGCAAAGGTGTCCTGTGAAACTGATTAATTCTGGTTTGAAGGTGTTTAGTGACAGTTTGTTGTAGCATGTTTGAGTTGTCACCAACATCTGAGTGAGGCAGCGCAACATCACAGGTACAGCATGAGTGACACATCACGAAGTTTAGGACAACAACTCACATCATGGCCGGGATCACAGTCCAGCCAGACCGGCACCGGTGTTTCGGGCAACTCGAGTTCGACCATGGTGGTTCAGGCAAATGGTTGTTGAGGATCAAAGAGATGTATGTGTGTGATCTGTGGCTTTTCACGACAAGCAGTGAAACCGCACAAAATTATGATGAAAATGATACTCTGTACGGATACGAGAGTTTTTGGTGTTCCCTCGGCAAGGTGAGCAGACCACGGACGTTGTCGCCGGTGCCGTGGGGTTGCGCTTTTAGTTTACAAGCCCGTGTCTGGTGCCCACTTTCGGTGGATAAGACCAAACCAAACGAGCACGGGGTGGTGGAATGGAGTAGAACACTGCGTAGTGTACTCCGTAAAGGTAAGGTATTCTGGGGCTCCAAGGATGGGGGCGGGGGAGCCGGCCGGTCTGTAGCGGGTTTGCGGAGTGCGGAATTGTTGGTGACGAGTTGAGAGGACACAGGAGGTCAATTTTAGGTAATGACTTGGATTTTGGACTTTTCCATACAACGTTTGGCCAATCCCATCAGGACCATGATGTCTGCTCTGTTTCGGCTTCCTCGTCTAGGTAATCTCAGTGGTCAGGAGTCATGGGACAAGAGATGCTTTGCGGTTCCATGGTTCTTGGAAGAATCCTGCGCAAAATAGAGTCCGCCGGGCTCTTCTTACCTCACAAGCTCACTTCACAGGACGAAATTACTCTTGGGATAGGTAGGCTGGCGAGCACCGTGGGCGGAGTCGGGCGGTCTCTGATAAGTGAGGCGGTGCCCTCCGAGCGCCGCTGCAATTCGACCTGCACCCGTTTCGGAAGGTCCAGCAGACACCACAAACGCATCCACACCCGAGAAAACAACCTCCCGTGCTTGCCGGGTCGCTGAGAAGCTAAGGCCTAGCTGAGTCACCGTGAATTTTGACTATCTCGACGTCATGCTTTATTTTGAGCTCAGGGATCCGTACCTTATTTGAGTGTTGCAGCGACAGTCTTTCGACAGTTCAGGGGTTTAACAGTCCATGTAGAAATCAATATCCTCACACGCTGGGCAGTAAACCGTAACATTTTGTGTGGTAGATGCGCTCTAGTTTGGGCGCATGAAGGGTATCATTTTGATTTTGGTAAAAACGACGGCTATATGCGTTCGTGCAGGACAAGACACTCCAATCAACAAGCCGGCAGACTGCAAGCAACAGCTCTAGGACAAGCTGATCAAAGACAGCCATTATTGACTTATTTGCCCGCTGCCTTTCGCTGCTCCATTACTCTCAGCACATCGGCCGCATTGTTGGCGTCGCCCTTCCTCTTCTTAGGGCCTCTCTTCCTCTTGCTCTTGCCGCTTTGGCCGTCATCATCGTCTCCATCGTTGCCCCATCCCGAGAGCTTGACCGGCGCATCGTCAAAGTCTGCCTCGTCTTCGAACCTGCTGGTGCCGAAGCCCATGTCCATATCTTCGGCATCTCGGTCGACGCTCTGCAGCATTCTCTTGTGGCGCTCCCGACGAGCCTTGGCTTCCTCGTCGTCGTCCTCCGCTTCTCCCTCCGGATCTTTGTTTGCCGCCTTGAGCTGTGCGGCCCTCTTGAAAGCAGCCTGTATCGCCGGGTCAGACATCGAGGGTCCTTGTAGAGTCTGCGAAGATATAAGGTCTGTCTTGGAGTCCTTGAAGTAGTTGCGCGCTTGTGCTGGCCGCGGCGGTGGCGGCATCGCGATTTTGTCGGCGCTGCTCTCATTCTTGGTCTCCTTTTCGTTGTCCTTGACCTCGCCCTCGCTATCCTCGTCAGAGCTGTCATCCATGCCAGCTAGCGGGTCATAATCGTCTCCTGCGTCGGCAAAGATGTCGTCGTTGTCGTCTTCTTCAACTTCTTCCTGTTGTTTTTGGTAAAATTCGGGTACCTCCATACCCAACGGCTTCGCATCCTTGTCTGGGATAAACTCTTTGCGCATCTCCTCCTCGGCCCCTGGCTGCAATTTGCGAACTTTCCTCTTCTCGTGACCATCTTCATCGATAATAATCAACACTTCGCGTCCCTTGCTGTCCCGTTCAATGCGGCTTCCGGCCTGTTGCTTAGCACCGATCTTCTTGAACTTGCTGTTCAGGGCGGCCTCTTGCTGAGCCTTGGCAGCCTCTCTCGCAGCCTTCATTTCGGCCAGGATCTGGTCGCGAGTTCTCTTCTTCCCAGGTGCAAGGGCCACAGGTGCAAGTTGGCCCTTCTTCTTCACCTTTTCTTTTTCGACAGCCTGCACTTCTGTTGACTCCAGCTCATCAAACGCATCGTCAACTTCCTCTTCCGGGGGTGCTTCGGCTTCCTCTTCGTTGTCTTTCTTGTCTCCATAAACATCTTCGCCCTTTCGTATTCTTTCCAGAAGCTTAAAGTCCAGTCCCTTGATCAGATGCGTGCTCGAAAGGTCTCCTCCTGCAATTTGGCTGCTGAGCTTCTCAAACGTCGCTTGGTCAATCTCCTCGTTCTTCAGGGCCTCCTCTAGCGCCTTTATTCTTTTGGCGCGGTCATCCTCCTCGTCATCGGTTCGGTCTCGTGCTCGATCGACATAGCCCTCTGCAAGTCTGGATCCCTTCGGGGCCGATGTGCGAAATTTCTTCTGGGGTTGCCCTGCCTGGTTCCTCTCGGCAAGCTGTCGCGCAAACTCATTCCGGCTATGACCAACTCCCACGGAGCGTCTAGTACACACAATCAGCTGATGGACCACCATAAACAGTGTTAAGAGGGTAACATACGGAGTCATGGGAATGCTAGATCGCTGTCGGGATCCCAACGCGCCGCCGCCTGGGGTTGCGGCGCCTTTGGTCGAAGCATTGCTCGGCGACGCAGCCTTCACGGAGTCAGCACCCAAAAGCTTGCGAAATTGTTGGTTATTCATGATCGCTCTATCTCGCAAAATTGGCGACAGAGAGGTCGGCGGCTGCAACCTGGGCTAGTTTGTTAGACGTCGTCGACGGGAGCTGTCAGTGCTCTCTGAGCAATTGAAGAACTCTGATTAGTCATGCAGATTCTAAGTTGGACGTGCAGGTTGCAGGGCGCGACGGACCCACCCACTTAACGCGCTTGCAGGCATTCACCTCGGCCGGGGCTCCGTCACTTCACCAACCTTGAACTGGCACCACGCCCTTCTGTTGATTTACGCTTTACCAAGAGGAACGAATGAACGTCGGGCTCACTCACAACTTCCAAAGATGGTGCATTCCAGTCAGCTAGCTGTATGGACGGGTTGATTTGCAAGAAAATCTTCGAGACGCAAGTCAAAAGACCGCCGCCACCACTACCAACACTCATACAGTCGTGAGTCTGCGCATTACCCGAGACAACCGACAAGATGGGCAGTCGCCTTGAGAAGAACTCCTCGCAGGTGAGGAAGAGGATTGAAAACCACGAGTTCACCGATGAGACTGGCGAAGAGTATGAGCAAAGCGCTTTCGGCGGCTTTGGCGACTACTTTCGTCGGAAAAAGATCAAGCTTCAAAACTTGGACGCCGACATGCGCGCCGCCTCGAGCGACAAGCCTCAAATCTTCAAAGGGGTCGTTGCGCATGTTATGGGCTATACACAACCGCCGCTTCATATGTGAATCACAGTCTATATCCCTGCCACGCGAAGAATATCGCTAATCAACGCTCCAGCTTACACCGCGAGCTTGTTCAACATGGCGCAGGCTTTTTGCAGTACCTGGATTCAAAGACCATGGCAACGCACATAATAGCGTCCTCTGTTCCGCCTAAGAAGTCCGTGGATTATAGCAGGTATAGACTTGTCAAACCAGCCTGGGTGACGGACTCTATTCAGGCTGGGAGACTCCTTCCTTGGTCGGATTATCGAATAAATAACCACGATGGACCGCGGCAGAAGGTATTCAGAATCGACGAATCCAACAAGCTCAGTCAATCGACACCACAAGTGAAAAGAGGTTACAGAGACCAAACCGATGCCAGCTTCTACACCAGCCAGTTCAAGGGGTCTACTGCAAGTCCCGTGACGCCCTCTTTGGGTCGTTTTGCTGAGCGGTCCGAGTCTCCGCTCGCTCAAAACCATGGTCGAAATTCGTACAGCCCAGCTTTGTCGCAGGCTATGAAGAAGCCTCCACTAAAGCCAAAGGACAATGTCGAAGAGTTTGATGACATGGAGATTGACGAGCTTATGGTCGGCATAGTTCCAGAGGAGGACAAAGCAGTCAAAGTGGAAAAGGTTGATGCCAAAGCCGCACCACCAACAATTGACGAAGGCGCCATCGAAGGAACCGATGAGCCCAAGCAGGAGTCCAAGTCGTCAGAGAATATGACGTCCGAGGAGCACAACGCCATCCTTTTGTCAGATCCCAAAATCTGGAAATCATCAACGGCGAACCCAGATTTCTTGAAGCAGTTTTACTCGGAAAGTCGTCTTCATCACCTTTCGACCTGGAAAGCCGAGCTCAAGTCGAAAATGCAGAATCTCGCCAAGGAAAAAGGGCCATCTCTCAAGTCGGTGCGAAGGAGGCCAGGGTCACGACGGTACATTATCCACGTCGATTTTGATAGCTTCTTCTGCGCTGTTTCCCTCAAGAAGAACCCACAATACGTCGATAAACCAACTGTAGTTGCTCACAGCAGCGGCACCGCCTCGGAGATTGCAAGCTGTAACTACGTTGCACGCAAATTTGGAGTCAAGAATGGCATGTGGATGAAGCGAGCACTTGAGCTGTGTCCGGATATCAAAGTCTTGCCGTACGACTTTCCCGCGTATGAAGAAGCCAGTCGACTTTTCTACGAGTCTATCCTCGATATTGGAGGGGTTGTCCAGAGTGTCAGCATCGACGAGGCCCTCGTCGACATCACGTCAATAATTCTTTCCTCTGCCGGATCCGATGGCGCAGGGGTTGACGAAGGCAGTGTTTGGAGAGAACAGGAAAAGGCAGAGGAGATTGCTCTTGCCCTGCGTAACAAGATCAAAGAGGCGACTGGCTGCGCCGTATCAGTTGGAATTGGGGCCAACATTTTGTTGGCCAAGGTCGCGCTACGAAGAGCGAAACCCGCCGGGCAATTCCAAATCAAGCCAGAGCAGGTGCTAGAAGTCATTGGCGAACTTGAGGTGAAAGATCTGCCTGGGGTCGCCTACAGTCTCAGTGGGAAGCTCGAGGAGATTGGTGTCAAGTTCGTCAAAGATATCAGACAGGTATCCAAGGACCGGCTATCTTCTTCGCTTGGACCAAAGACAGGAGAGAAGCTTTGGGAGTACGCCCGCGGCATTGACAAGACTGAAGTGGGCGAACAGACACCCCGAAAGTCCGTCTCGGCTGAGGTCAACTGGGGCATTCGCTTCATCAACCAGCAGGAAGCGGAGGAGTTCATCCTCAATCTCTGTAAAGAGCTGGAGAGACGACTTCTCAGCGAAGAGGTCAAGGGCAAGCAGTTCACTATGAAAATCATGCGCCGAGCTCAAGATGCGCCTCGAGATCCACCAAAGCATTTAGGGCATGGGAAGTGTGACTCATTTAGCAAGAGCGTCCTATTTGGAGTCGCAACTCACAACGCCGAAACCATCGCCAAGGAGGCTGTCTCAATCCTTCGATCCTACAAGTTCACCCCGGGTGACCTTCGAGGTCTTGGTGTCCAGTTGACAAAACTGGAGCCTCTCAAATCCACCACGACTGGACTAGAAAGCAGCCAACGAAGGTTAGCATTTCCAAATTTTGGTGGCCAACCGTCGGCAAAGAAGGCCCAGGTCGATCCGATTGAGGATTCAAAGAGTCCTCAGAAGACAAGGGATGCCCAAACTCGGGGCGATGTGTCTCTGGATCCCATCGCAGATGACCCGTTAACACCCAGAAAGCCCAAGATGCATCCTGCTTTGGCCCTGGCACGGGCTGGTGAAAGGGACGAAAAAGCCCACACTCCTCTCAACATCATGGGCACTCAATTCATCCTCCCATCACAGGTTGACCCCGCGGTGTTGGCTGAGTTGCCAGGCGATATCCGAGCTAAGCTTCTGAGGGGCCAAAGGCCAATGCCAGAGTCTAGACAGGCATCTCCTCAAGTGAAGTCTCGGAGTAATAGTCCCGCTATTCAGGAGGAGATGATCCCATCTCAGGTTGATCCAGAGGTCTTCAACGCTTTGCCGGATGACATGAAAGCTGAGGTCCTGGCGCAGTATGGACGCAAACCGGTGCAACAAACACGTTTACCGCAATCACCACGCAAGGACCGGCTTATCCAGGGGAAAAAGCCAATAACGCCAACAAAACGAGGCAAAAACTTGTTCAACGCCAGGGAGAGGCAGCAGGATGCAGCTGCCAATCGCAAGCAGACGAACTTCTTGGCGAACAAAGGCCCTGCGAATGCCGCACAGGAAGAAGACCCAGAAGAGCTAGATCAAGCATTCCTGGCAGAGCTCCCAGAGGACATGCGGAAGGAGATCATTGAGGACCACCGCAAGAAGCGGTTGGCCAAAAGATCTGGTCTCCTCTTCAACGCTCCCAGGAGGCAACAAAACGGCGAGTCGAGCGACGCCGCGCCCGCCGGACAGACCAAACTGCATTTCCCTGCGCCGCCGCCCAAGATGAACTTCATGGGTTCCGCTGTGAAGTCGATCCAGGAGATCAAGGACATGCTCGAGGCCTGGCACGATGGGACGCGGTACGATGGGCCGCATCAAGACGATGTCCAGGTCTTTGAAAAGTATCTCGCCAGGGTCGTCTCGGAGGAGCGAGATATGCAAAAGGCCTCGAGGCTTGTGCGGTGGCTCGAGTGGCTGGTGGAGGACGATGGCAGCGAGGGACGGGGTAAGCAGGGGTGGAGGAGGACGGTCGCGGATATCAAAGCGGCGGTCCAGAGGGCGGTTGAGCAGAGAGGCTTGGGCCCTGTGAGATTGTGAGGCTACCTTATTGTATAAGTCACGAAGTTATGATAGGATACCATTGATTGGGTTTGCGGTTTGGCATCGATTTACCTTATGCAGCGTTTCTGAAGCGGGAATCGGAAAAAGCATCGTGATGTCTGACTTGGGACCTCACATGTGAGATGTGCGTTAAGATGTACGCTGCGAGAGTGAGACAAAGTCATCAATTCAGAGATTCTATAGGCCAAATGCACACAAAACAGGGGGTATCCTCCAAGAAACAATAAAACGCTGCTGTCGTGTAACCATTCTTTTGTCCTTCGAAGAGGCTATCCCATCACCACCAAGACACCTCATCATCAGGTCATCACATTTTACAGCAACATGGACGTCGCCAAGCCGCCCACGAAAACCGCGGCCCACGATGCGGCTGCTGGCGACGATCGCAAGCCGGCGCTGACCATGTACACGCTCAACTTGAGCGCGCCGCCGCAGACCATGCCCTGGTTGCCGTCGCAGGGCAGATTGCACTGGCTATCGTCGAGCTTGACCGCCAGGCCCGAGATTCTCTGGGCGCACCAGCATTCGCTACACAAATTGGATCTGTCAGTTTTGTTTCTCGTCTTACACACACAGCGGGCATGACCTTAACAAAAGAGGTTTTGAGGAAAGGATGGAGAAGTTGGAAAGCGAGAAGAGAGTAGAGTGAGAACCACGTACCGAGAATACTCGACGCCTGCGTAGTTGTACTGCTTATCGGCGCCGGTGCTGCAGAAGCTGAGGCACAGCGGCACCGTCATGTTGCCCTCCATGACCTTGGATGCGCCGCCCGAGAGGGCGCGGTCGTGGGCCGTGTTGGGGAGGTCGTTTGTCTCGTTGTAGCAGCCTTGGTACTTGTACTTGTCGGAGCCCGTGTAGATTGAGAGTTGGGCCGCCGCAAGCGGCGCGAGGATGGCGAGGACGGCGAGGAGGAGGAGACGGGATAGGAGGGTGTTGCGGGCCATTGTTGTCGTTTTTCCTTGGGGTTTCGAAAAAAAAAAAGGGCTGTAGTTGAATGGAATTCTAGTCGGGACACCTCGTTTCTATCCTTCTCTTTGCTATCTGCTGAGCCTTTCTTGGTGAAGCTGTGGGAACTTCGGCAGTGGCGGGATCGTCGAGTATTGTTTCTTTGCGCGTTGAGTGGAAGGCGGTTATCGACGCTTATCTAGGACCCAAACAATGGCACACCGGATATCATAAATCGTAAGGGGAGATTGGGCTACGGGTATGGCGTGTTCTCATACTGAGGTCATCTCTTCGTTGGTCCTGCTTCAAGATGTCCTAATACAAAACCCCGCGAAATGAGTGAACGAGTGAAGCAAGAGAGCGCGGAGGCAAGACGAATGAGAGAAAAAAAAAGATCAGCAGGCTAATTCAGTTTTATTCCGTCCGGGCGGCGCGAAACCCCTTCAAGGAGATTTGCACACCACCACTGCGCCGCGATGAGGCTGGAAGCCATTGGTGGTTTGGGTCTAGTGCCCAGACGCTACCACACCCTTTCGATAAACCTCACAAACGGGAAATCTCACATTCAGGTCCCTCAGGAACGGTCCAATGGGTTTTAGCGTCCGGGAGGCCGCTAGAGGTCTCGCGTGGTTTGCATAGGCTCAAAGACGCACATTTCAGGGGAGGGCCCTTGTTCGCACTTCGGGAGAATAGTGAGTTGTCTCCACTACAGCTGAAGTTTGGGGCCTGTTCTAGACCGGATTGAGATGGGCGAGAAGCACCTATCCTTTGGGTGCAAGTTGGGTGTGGTCCGTGGGCGAGCCCGGCGCCAGGGTTTGAGGGCGTGAGGGAGAAGATCTCAGCTGTTTCCACCGAGGTACCACGAATGTGAAGCATGTATTTTCTGTTATGAGGCTTGGGTCTTTCTTCTCATGTAGTCACTTGATCAACCCAAACTGCATGCCATTATGTTGTAAATTAATTTCATTATGAAGGTTTCGTTTCGTAACCTATTTCGATCTCATGTGTGAATCAAGAGATGGACTACCGCTGAGCCATGGTTTGATTTAATTAGGCCGAGGGGCGCACCGGGCGGCAGACGTCTCCCGACGACAAAGCATCAGCTGCTCTTCGGTCTTCTGTGTCCTTACATACGGACCTCGACGGTTCTCCAGCAGCTGGACGTTATTCCCGAAACTATTACGGCAATGACTTGCCCCAATTTCCCTTTCAGAATGACTGGTTGTTGCCCTCTGCCATACGTTCGTTGTGAGTTTATCCGACCATTCGTAGCCTCTTCTTTCTACAGGCATCAGGCAGCTGCATTGAGTTTGACCTTTGCTTTTCTTGGTATTGTGCTAGGTTCATGACAGAAACCCGCTCGGGGTGTTCTGGAACTCGCAGGGGGTAGGTTGGTTTGGATATCTTACAGCGTTGTTTGCTGTCAGGTGCCGGTCTTCACGAGTTCTGTGTGTATGTGCTCGTCTCGTAAACGCTCGAATGTGTTCGCGCGTTGCTTCGTCTTCGATCATCTATTATCACTTCAACTCATCAAAGTCGTAATCATAATGCGTCACTTCGTCCAGCGTTAGCAAAGGTACACACACTACCCCCCAACTCAGAAACTCCAGGAAGCAACTTACAAAGCGCTAATCTCCAAGTCTCCGAAAATCCTCGCCTTGAGAGTAACCTCAATATCGAGATTCAACCCCAAATGTACCGCAAACCCCCGGCTCTCGGACCCGGCATGCTTGTGCTGTTGTTGCCGGACAGGTCTTGTCTTCCGGGACCTTCGCCGTCCCCGGCCAAGATTTTGACTAATTTGTCTCATGGGAAACTCCCGTTCGGATTCGGTTTCCGAAGTAGACATGTCCGTCGCCGGCCCCGCTAACACGGCCGCGGGCGGCGGGGCGGGAAGCTCGTAGTCTATCGTCGGTCTGTCATCGTCTGGGATTCGTGCCGGTTCCTTATTGTTGCTGTCCTCGTCGTCTCCGCCCATGTCGATGAATGATGTTTGCTCGACTGGTATCGAATTATCGAACGGCATCGGGCACCATATGAATCTGTCGTCGGCGAGAGGCTCTACGGAGCCGTACATTTCTTTCGGGAGCCACACTGTAAGGCTATCGCGTTTCGCCATCTCTGCTACCTTTCTCTCTCTGTTCCTTCCTATAGCGAGTGTAGTATAAGCGAGTGAAATGTAAGTACGTAAAAAAAACAGCGAGAGTAAAGAAGCGAGAAGCTGTCAGAATTTTGGCCGAAAAGATAGATGCATTTCTGTCCAGAAATGGGAAAACAGTCATCTAAGTATGTCTCCGGCCCAGACAGACCAACTCTTTCATCATATCCCCCAATATCAACCACCAACAGCAACCAGCCAGCACCTCACGAAATCTTGGCACACAGCACCGAGCAGGATTCGAAGAGCCTGGCCGCGCCTCTCACCAGTGACCACTTGGACCAGGTATCACTGTACCGCTCAATGAAATCATGGATGGGCCCGGGTTGTATTCGCTTCCCAGGGTGTGTCGTGAGCGCCCCCCGGAGCTCTGGCCAAGAATCGACCGAGATCTGCAAGACAGCCGATCGCTGGAAGGTGTGGAACCCGCCCCCAACGGTGCAAGAAAACCCGGATTTTTGGCATTCAATTTTAAAGGGTTCTCTGCTTGCCTGGCACAACAAGCAAATAAGCACGCCGCTGATGACATCCTAACACCACGTCGTTGTTGATTCGACCCGTTTTATGCTTCCATCTGCTTGGGTACCGCTACTACTATCGGCAACGGAGTAGACCATAAAGCCCCGAGTGCTAATTTTGGAAACGGCTCAGGGTTCTTAACTGTCGTTGCTCAGATCGGAGGCTGAACTAATACCTACTCTGCTGATCAACGGTCCTCCTCGCCCATTGTGAACCCTTCTGCCGGGTTGATTAGAGCCTCTTCGTCATCCCAGTCATGGAAGTCAGCCTCCGCGGAGTATAGAGACAAAGCCTATTTATAATGCACCTTGCTATTTCGTACACCAGACAGAGCCAATTGTCACGATGAGATCGCACATATGATCGATCCCTGCAGCCCGGAGAAGAAGCTTACTACACCCTTCCGAACCTGACGCTAGAGTGCGGAAATAGGAGAACCACGAGAAAGATCTTCTCCTCCCCAAACTCAAGCAGTTGTGCCATGGGTGCTATAGGCGGTTGGGTATGTGAGGCTCTCCACGCGAATTTCAAGAATCATCATGAGGTTTCCAGACTCTCCTAATCGAGCAACTACATATCGTCCGTTGCATCCTCGACAAAGACAACGGCAACTCTTGTTATTCTTTCACCTATTCACACGTCGATGCACACAAAATCCTTCAAAGAGAATTCGAAGAATCCCCTTGGATTTTAAAGTCTCTTCAGCAAACCCAGAGTTTTTGAGTCCCCTTTTTGATGCTGCTAGAGCAAGCCACTGAGAAGGGATACTATCTATCACTGTTACTTCTTCCTTGCATTTCCAAAAGTACCCGTATCCGCACAAGCATCTTCTTTAGAGGCTCACCAAACCATCGCCTTAGAGTTAAAAGTCCTATCAAGCAACTCGAAGCCTCTCGAACTTTCGCGCATCTCCAGCAGTGGAAAGGCACGGTCGAGAAAGGGACTGCTCGTATCGGATCGCATCTTTTCTTCATTTTCCACACATTCATGTGCAGAACCCTTTAAAAAAAGGTCCAAACAGTAATCGTGTAGTTCAAAGCAAGCTCAGGCACCTAAAACCCGTTTCCAGTAGGCAGCTGGTAGAGAAAGCCGCCGTGAACGCGCAGTGCTCTCCCCCCTATTGATAATACTTACTCTTATTACCGCAATGCATCATCCACCCTGCAGTAAAAACCGTTCCAAACGGGCACTTGGTACAAGAAAGGAAGAAAATTGAACGATATTCCCGTTCATCATAGACGGTCCTGATCGAGAGAACCGAAGTTGAACTGGCAACCCTCGATGGGTGCCTAAAACAGGGCCCCCTTTCTGGCAACTTGTCTCTTTTCTGTTCAACAGTGGCTCATGCCCACAGCTTCCCGAGGACCATCAAGTTGGAGAATCACGACTTGGATGTGCTGTGCTTCTCGACGGTTGAATCGTCAGATTCATTAATGAACACGAGCGGAAGGCGGAATGGTTGAGGATAAGGGGTGCTAGAGTTTGGATCAAGGGAAAGGTACAGGTGCTCCAAGACCTCCTGTCTATCGCCTGCCGAATGCACATCATCCCCATCGCACGTTCCTTCTCAGAATGACCTTTACAGCCAAGGAGTCCTGGCAGTCTCAACGAGATTACAATTGTCCATCTATTTGTCCTTCGCCCCCGCACTGACCTTTTCGAGGCATCCTCAGATGCACAAACGTTTGCAGAATGAGGTATGCATCGTGGCTGGCCAGGGGTCAGGAAATGACACAACGACCTTTCTTAGCAGACAAATATCTACAAGAGCGTTATCAAAACGGGTGGACAAATGTTCACAAGAGAGCCTTAGAAATTCAAATATGTATGGAGTATAATGCATAGTGTGCGTAAAGAAATTGGTATCATAGATCGACGCACCAACCTCACATCGATCTCAAGCGAGTGAGTAGCTACAACATTCCTATCTTTCTTAATAGCAGAGGCAACAAGACAATTTCTTGCCATGGGAGCCATAGTAATACCGCTTGTACGTCCCGTGTCTGAATTGTCAGTGCAATGGTTACAACCCAGCGGCCTTCACTCTATCTTTCAAATGTGTTCTTCCATACCCCAACTCCGGTGCTATACTTCCAGTCATGAAGTTTCCAACGTGCAAAAAGCCTTGAAGCAATTCTTGGCACATCGTAATGCCTCTCCAACGAGCCGATATTCAATGGTATCCTCACATCACAACACACTTCTTATCCTTCTCCGATTTGCCATGAGTCGCGTTCCTACTAGACGTGGAAACCTCCGTCCACGCAGTAGAACTGGCAACCTCGTGATCAACCTGCTTCTTCTTTTTCTTTTTCTTTTGGGAACCATTCCAACCCCGCCGCTTGGCGTCCTTGATGTTCTTAGCTGCACTCCGCTCGGCACGACTGGGTCTTCTGTTGACCGAGGAATACGACTGCCTGCCGGCAGATGATGTCGATGGCGCCTGTAGCCACGCTGGCATGAGACTTCTGCTGCTGGAAGCTTCAGGCCGGTTTGTGGAGTTTGTGCTGTATATCGTTTCAAGGCGTTCCACCGTTGGTCGTACCGGACCCAACTGGGTCGGGCGTGGGTGACGCGGGATTGGGGCCAGTAGAGGCATCTCGGTTCTGCGGTTCAATTGCTGGCGAGTGGGCGCATCGAATGCGCCAGTGACACCACTAGGCGTGCTGATAATCAATGGCTGGTCTTCGA